TCGGGAAGGTGAGCATCATAGAATGCCAATTTACTAGAAGAAAGTATTCTTGTGTTGAGGGAGTACTTGAGTGGAGGCCCAATGTCCTTCTGCCCATTCATCAATTCTATCTACTTCCTTTGAGATGAAAAAATCTCTTACAGGCTGAGTAACTTTCCTAGCCCAATGAAAGGAATTTCCCCGAGATCTGTGATGTTAGGACAACTATATTCTGATTCTTCCCCCTCACCCCCCACCTTTATTTTTGGCCTTTGTTTTTTGTTTTTCTGATCCTTAAAAAATAAGACCCATATATTTTGAATTAACTCCAAAAGAACTTCAAAATATGTTCACCTCTCTCATAATAAACTGAAACTGAGACGTGTGTTAACAGGTCTGCTGGAAATGTTCAAAACTAGTGAACAACTTCATTAGTTAAATTTTGAAAATTTGCCAAGAATAGGTACCTTAAGGTGGTGGGGGGAGAGGGGCAAGGAGGGCCAAGCCAAGGTTATGTTTAGGGTTGCCAAATTACCAAAGCTATTTGAAAAACAAAACAAAACAGATTCTGATATTGCTGTATTATTTTCACTATAATCACAGAGGGAAGGAACCCTCTCTGCCTACAATTATCCTGGACAGTCTTTATTGACCTTTAAAATGCTTTACCTTTGTTTATTGGGAAACCAAATTCACCCCAAGCCTATAAATGTGAGCCACAAAATGAATTAGAGTCTAAATAACTGAATCTTCCTTCTCTGATTTCAGTACAACTGAGATCTAAGAGGTAGTGTCCCTGGAGTGAAACCCTAAGTGGTGGGTGGGAGTTCCAATACCCCTACAAAGGAAAGTGACGTGCCGGAAGGGTGAAGGGGGCTGAAGAGGGATGGGGCGCTTTGCAGGGTGGCAGCCTAACGTCTGGTCCTGGAGGGAGCACGACTGGGCAGCAGCCCAGCCCACTGGTGGCCAAGTTGTAAGCTCTGTTACTGGGTCCTTCCTTTGTGTACTAGCCATTACCAGTGTCCACTGGCAGCCCATCTGGTTGCTCAGAGGACACAGAATGCGTGTCTCAGAGATTTGAAGATGAGAGAGAAGGCAGAAGGAAATGGGTGGGAGGAGAGCTGCCAGTCTAGACTTCCTCTTTCCTACCAGATTCGTGCCAAGAACACAGACACAGAATCCCCCATTTGCCCCAGCAAAGAACATTCTGTGTGATGGCGTGACATATCCCAGTAGCCTTTTCTGAAAATACTCGTAAAATCAGTGCAGTGGTGGGGTCATAAAGATATTTCTGGGTTCCACTTACTAATAAAGAAGGTGCTGTGCAAGTAAAAGGTATTCAGTGCTTCTGCCCATCCAAAATCTGCTGTGCATGTGAGGGATGCTCAGAAAGGCTGGGGAGTGATTCACTGGCTCTTCCTGCTTCCTTTCCATGATCAAAGGTGAAGAATCTTCACACAGCAGATATTTGATGTGTATATAAGCTATATACATTTTCCCCACACGTACATGAAAAAGGCCTTCCATACCATGGCTTCCTGGTTTCGAAACCTTTAAGCTGAGGAAGAAATTAGGGGGTTTTGAAAACACCTGAGGGAAGCACCTTACGGAGGTTAGATGTGCCATCCAGTTGGCATGACCTTCAAACCTGTATAAAAGCTCTTGAATGATGAGCCAGTCAGGGGGCGATGTAACAACGATGAGAAATACAACTTTCCTCTAGTTCCTAAATGTTTCCTCCCTGCTCTCACTACCATGACTCGAATTCTATCTTGCAAGTCTGGCTAGACCAGAGGAGGTACACTGGTACAGATAGGAACTGAAAATACAGGGAATCCAGGATGGATGAGCCCTATAGGACCAGTGGTGTGAGTGGCAAAACAGGGAGGGTAAAGGGAGAATGGGTGGGAAAGAGGGAACCGATTACATGGAACTGTGGGTGACCTCCTCCCTGGGGGACAGACAACCGAAAAGTGGGTGAAGGGAGACGTCGGGCAGGGCAAGATATGACAAAATACCCATTTATAAACTATCAAGGGCTCACGCGGGATGGGGGAGCGGGGAGGGAGGGGAAAAATGAGGACCTAATGTCGGGGGTTTAAGTGGAGAGAAAATGTTTTGAGAATGATGTACAAATGCGCTTTACACAATTGATGTGTGTATGGATTGCGATAATAGTTGTATGAGCCCCTAATAAAATGTTAAAGAAAAAAAAAGATAAAAAAAAAAAAGCTCTTGAATGATTCTGAACCGTTTGGTATTTAAGTGCTTGGATATAAGACATCAGGGTGAGAGACCTAAGTGTTGTTTTCCCTGCAGCAAAACCAGGTTCCGATGGATTCAGGAAAGCAGCTCACAGAAAAACGTGCCTGCGTTTGGTCTGGACGGAGTGTACATATCCGAGCCTTGCCCCAGCTCCTGCAGTGGCCACGGAGACTGTGTTTCTGGCGTGTGTTTCTGCGACCTGGGATATACCGGTAAGGCTGAATGCGTTGCGTATGATGGTTTATAAAACACTCACCTCTGCTGACTGCATTTCAGGTTACTTCTCCCAATCATATAGAATCTGAGTTTGTCAGTCTTTAAGCCTGAGATGTATAGAAATGTTCAACCCAAGTGCCTGAAATGCTAAGATGTTTTAAAGTTTTGAACTTCCAAAGGAGGAGAAAGGACCCCTGATGGTGTGGTGGTTAAAGCATCAACTGCCACCCCTATGGTCAGAGGTTCGAACCCACCAGCTTCTCTTTGGGAGACTGATGGGGCCGTTTTCCCCAGCCATGCGGGCGCTGTGAGTCAGCATGCACTCCATGACAGCAGGCTTAGGGAAGAGAGAGGGCAGGGGAGGTTCAGGGTAGAATTCTCAGCCGCCATTAAGGAAACCTCACTTTGATTCCTGACCGATGCACCTGGTGCACCACGGCCGCTCGTCTGTCCTTGGAGGCGCCCATGTGGCTGTCGTGCTTAAACGAGTTTCAGCAGAGTTTCAGACTAAGACGGACTAGCGGGGAAAGACTGGTGATCTCCTTCCAGAGAAGCAGTCAGTGAGAAGCTATGGGTCACAGTGATCAGATCCTGGAGATGGCACCGGCAGAGGAACGGGCAGTGCTTCATCCCCCTGTGCACGTGGTTGCCATGAGCCAAGAGCAGCGGCTGCCACCACCCAAGAGGAGAAGCATGCCAAGGAAGGACAGCAAGATGGCACGATCTCCTTCTCTCCAGAGAGCTGTGCATCAGTAATGCCAGTAACAGCACTGACTGAGTCCCTGCTATGTATCAGGCACTCTACCAAGTACATTTCCTTTCATCTTACGGATCTGAACAAGAGCCCTGCACCGTGGGATTTCAACTGCTCCTGGTCACGTAGGAAGACATTGAGGCATAGGGAGCGTCAGTCACTCTCCCAAGGTCACAGAGCTAGGAGTTGCGAGAACTGGGCTTCCAGCCCCGGGAGGCAGAACCTGAAGCCTCAGCTCCTAATCATTGTGCAGCAGGACCTCTGCGTGACCTTTAAATTGTGTATAGATAAGTTTGCATGTGAAGTAAAAATGCACATGAAATAATATACACAAGATTACCAAAAGAGAGGCTTTCTAAGAGAAGCCGTGTCTGACCACCGTCCACTTTGGATGTTGCTGCAAGGAAAAATGAAAAGGCAGCTGAGATTAAAGAGTTAAAATTGGAGAAAACATCCTAAGTTTCCAAATGTTTTTAAAGATTTTTTTTTTTCTGGAGGCAACTTCAAAAGGATGCATCAGCTTTTCGGTGTCTGGCCTTCATTTGGCGTGTGACCAAAGGCAAGCATATGATGCTACGGGCCTTCTGTGGAGAGGCCTATCCACTTGTGGCTTCGATGGTAGCTTTGAAAAGTCTGGGATTGACTTCCCTTGTGAAATCTCTAATAGGAGGCCAGTACACTAGCCGATGGTATTTGAGATAGAAACTATCTCTCAGTTCACACAAATCCTCTTAAGTAGTGAAAACTAGGGAACTGTGGTTTCCAATAGCTCTCCTTTTTCTGTTTATTTTCATTTGGAGGTAGAAGAGTGCTTTTGATTACATCGATGGCGATGTTACAGACAGACAGCTGTAGATACAAGTGTTCATAAGATAAAAGTGTTCACAAGGTACAAGTGACTGCTTTCCTCCTTTAAAAAAAAAAAATCCAGATCCACTGCCGCTGGCTCACGGCCATCCTATAGGACAGAGTAGATAGAACTGCCCCAGGGGCTTTCTAAGACTATAAACCTTTAAGGCAACAGAAAGCCTCATCTTTCTCTGACGGAGTAATGTTGGATTTGAACTGCTGACCTTGAGGTTAACAGCCCAAGGAGTAACCCACTGTGGTACCAGGGCATCTTTCATGCCCATAAGACAACAGAAATACTTCCTTTCCCGTATGCTAAAAAAAAGCTTTTCATGTTTAGCAATTCCAGCAAGCATCCCTTCTAATGTATTTCTTTCCTCTGAAGCCGCACAAGGAAGCTGTGTGTCCAGTATCCCGAATCACAGTGAGATGTTCGACAGATTTGAGGGGAAGCTCAGCCCCCTGTGGTACAAGATAACTGGCGGCCAGGTTGGGACTGGCTGTGGAACACTTAACGATGGCAAGTCTCTCTACTTCAGTGGCCCTGGCAAAAGGGAAGCGAGGACTGTCCCTCTGGACACCAGGAATATCCGGTAAGTGACGAAAGGTCCCCCGAGCATCCTTATTTGCCAGATCACATGGGCTTGAAATGGAAAGATGCAGAATAGCCTTAGCTCTATAATAAAGCGAGTCTCCCACAAAAATGACATCACAATTCATTAACCAGTGTGCCCTCGTCACTAAGGTATCCGTGTCTAATGAGCATCGGTTTGCCTTCCTGAAGTTTGATGCTGTTGTGCTGTTTGGCAACTTTAACATGTCCTGTGTGAAACCAGTAAATACTCTCTCAACTTGAAGTCTGTGTCAAAAAACAATGCATTCTTACTCATCTAAGTGTCTTTGTATTTATCTACTGAAAAGTTGCCCCCAAATTTAAAGTAGCTACACTGACACCTGCTGGTGCGAGGAGTAAGTGCCTGGCTTTTAGAGGAAATGAAAATCGTAGCACAGCTAACCTGAACTGCACTTTCCTGTCAGGTACATTAGTTGAGACTCTAGGAGAGAGTAAACTGGGGAACACTTTTGAGATTTTCAGACCTCATGCTCACTAAAATAATGGGATTTGTGGCATATTTCTCTTCCCCTTTGTCCTGCGTCCTTCTCAGAAGGCGTGCCCGTCTGCGCTGGTCACAGTGGATGTACATCACCTCACCTCACCTCACCTGAGTCCAAGTCAGAGGCACATAGGTCATTGTCTGGCCCCAAACAAACCTGAGCAGGCTTCAAAAAGTTCACAGACAAATTCCATGCTTTTATTTTAAGTCCATGTTTTCTATAAACATTTTAAAGCCCTTTCTGCACATTCACTTTCTTAATGATAAATTCAGAAATATACCTTCCTTGTTCTCGGATTTTCAAGGATCGTGTTACCTGGATTTATGAAACCATTTCAGTAATCCCATTAAATCATATCAGACTGTCACAATGAAATGGGGTTAGATTTAATGACTTAGAATTAACTTTGCATAGATCATCATTACAGAATAAAGTGAATGCTCATGCCAGTTAACCCTTTCCAAATATTACTGAAGTAATTTGCAATAATCTGTAAGCGTTTCTGCTTGTCATATGCCTTTTGGGCTTAAAAAGTCATATTTAAGAACTATAGGGGAACTTTTGATGTGTCAAAATACACAGGATTAACTCTAGAGTACATCTATGTGAAAGTAGACTACATTTTTCTCCCCAGACTTGTTCAATTTTACATACAAATTGGAAGCAAAACCTCAGGTATTACCTGCATCAAACCAAGAGCAAGAAATGAAGGTAAGCTGCTTGTTTCTGAAAAAGTATGCTGTTGGCAAATCAGTCCCTTTACCTCCCAGCATTCAGCCAGGACTTGATACACTAACACGCGACCCTAAATAGCACCTGCTCTTCTCTTCTCCTTCACAGTACTAACTGCTGAGGGGAGCTATGGCCATGTCTGTGAGCATTCTTCATCCATATCCCTGAATCCAATGAGTTCTGCCCATGCGTGCAGGCAGGATCAGAGGGCATTTACTTTGGATGGTTTGTAACTTCCCAGAGAGAGAGAAGCAGCGATGGAGAGGCATAAACGTTCCACAGGAAGGCTGGAGAGACGGATCACACTCCGCTTCTTACCCATAAGCATTCCAACTAGACGGGAATTCTTGGCTAGGAGGAGCCCCAAAACTCACTGTCAACAAGTCAGTGCTCACTCAAGGCAACCCTGGGGACAGGGTGGAAATAACTGCTCCTCTGGGTTTTCGAGACTGTAAGGCTTTACAGGGATAGAAAGCCTCTTCTTTCTCCCAAGGAAGCAATGCCTGGTGGTGGTGAACCACTGACCGTGCCGATAGCAGCCCAACACAACACCAAACCATATCACCAGAGCTTCTCGGATAGCCGCATTAGTTCCTGGAAATAACAAATACAAACCATTGCTGAGCACCTACTATGTAGAAAGCATTCTTCAGAGGGTGTTGCCTCTGTTCATTCATTTAATCTCTATCATTGCTCTTACCAGGCCTGGGTAGACTAGTTAGCCCTGTTTTGTAGCTCAGGGATCAGGAACTAACTTGCTCAAATCCATGCAGCCACAAAGTGGATATGCAATGACACAAGCCAATCATGCTGGCTCCAGCTTTAAAGACCCTACTGTGTTGCTTCTCTCCTTACCCTGACCTCTACCCTGCCCGGGTACCCGTGTCAGCTTCAGCTTCAAATAATTCCATTCGCAAATTCATGCAGAAGTGTAAATCACAACAGGAGCTCTCCGTTGCTCATGGTGTCCCGTAAGCACCCTGAGTGTGCATTGGTTCCTGGAACAAAATCCATGAGCTTTCTAAAGGGGTCCTACTCCTAATCTTGGTTTCATGAATGGCCTGTAGAATTTTGCAGCTTCGAAGTTCATTATCTCAAGCATGACTTTGCAAAACATACTCACCTAGGCAGTACCTATTGGTCAATAAAGTTACTATAACTTTGGTCATTGCTTTGAGCTTTAAATGGTCATTGCATCACCAAGTAAAGGCTTTAATGATTGGTTCCACATACCTCAGTGTCTTTGTGCAAGTAATTATCCCCATCATCTATTCACTGAAGTACCCACAGAAACGTCAGACCATTTTACATGCATTAAGATCGTCAGCAAATATGTTTTGAAGATCTGCTTTGAAGCAGGCACTGTTCTAAGCGCTGTGGATACAGTGCCACTGAAAGGCAGGTGCGTCTGTCAGGATGAGCTAAGTTCTGCTTCAATAACAGCCAGTCCTCCAAACCTTTGCAGGTTAAAACTACAGGCACTGGTCTCTTTCTCCTGCCACGTTTTCATAGAGGAGATCTGAAAGCTCTGTTCCTCTCTGACCTCACCCAGGAGCAGGATGCAGCCACTGCCTAGAGCCTGGATTGCTAGCCACTGCGACACGGGAGGAGAAAGAGCAGGGGGACGGGAGTAGACGTACAAGCCACCATGGTCCAGAGGGTTAGAACCAGAACAATTTGGTGGCCAGCACTAATGACTCCCAGAGCAAAGTCCTCACTCACTCGCATGGGAACTTATATTCGGGGAGCCAAACAATAAGTAATAAATAAATAAGCAAGAACACTTTGAGGTGTCGGGGCTAGACAGAAATAAGCACGCTGATGACATGGGGAGCCAACTTGAGAGAGGTTTGGAGAGGGTGTGAGGTTCCTGGCCTATATAGAATGACAGGTGAGAGGCGCATAATGATTGCAAAGGGTAACATGGACGCGTGTCGGGCCTCCTCGAATGTTGCCACTAGGAAGCAGAATCAAGACAAGCAGCCCAAGATTCAAATTTATGAAGTCAGACATATCTCCCTTCTTTACAGCAATATCCTCTCTCTAACCTTTCTCCAGCCCTCTCATCACTCTGCTTCTTGGCCAGGTTTCACAATTCAGTACAATTGCAAAGAATTCAAACAGCACTCAAAAATTATGGGGCATATTACTGAAGTAACAGGCCATCCCTCAAGATCAGGAACAACGGAGGATACAATGCTTCAATCAAGAAAGCTGCTTCTCGACCTGCAGGCTGGGCTCTCTGGCCCATTGCCCCACAACCTCTCAGTCTCACCTCTGCCCTGCTCAGCAGTGTGCCACAAAGCTCTTTAACTCTGACCACACGTGCCTGCAGTAAGTTCCCTGCCCTCTCTCTCATGCCACGGGTCAACACACCCACTGAAGTACTGTGGGCCAGAAAGCCAACGACGTTGTCACACTGATCTCCTGGCTCTACTGCTGCCATGTCTTTGCCACCATTGCCAGTCCCATGCTGTCCCTGGTGGTATAACGCCTGCCCCTGGGTTAGGAAGTTCTCCGTGCAGGCACTCCACATCTAAGAGGCATGCTGTACTCATGGCACTTCTTTCTTGGAGATAGGAAAGTCCCCTTCTGCTCTGGGACTGGCTCTCTCTCTCAGTCTAGCAGGATGGTAAAGCTGACCCTTGTTAGGGTTCCAGACCCTGTCTGCATGGTCTCCCCTAGGATCCATGCACCTTAAATTTCCATTGTTAACAAGCTATCCACTCCCCTTGGTGGGCCACCAGTGCCTATTTGCATAGTCCCAACCAGTCATTTTGTGGATGTTACAAGACCATGTCCAGAAAGGCCATAGGAAGACAATTCATTGCACCATGCAGAGGAAGAGACATTTAAATGAAAAACCACAGAAAGGGAAAGAGCCAGGCACATGACAAACTCAGGTAAGATTTTCCAGGCAGAATGCCAGATGGTGAGCAAGAAGAGGTACCATTGTGTTCTGGGCCCTGCGGCCCTGCCCTCAGGGCTGTGACTTGAGCCATCCTGGGGCCCTGGTAGCTGCACTAGAGGCACAGTTGATTTGAGCAAGCAGTAGTGCCAGGGGTTAAAACGGTTGCTGGGGGTTGCTGCCCATGCCCATACCCCAGAGAGGACCCTCACCACCATCACCACCCACCCCCCAAAATGAACAGCACACTGCTGGTCTTGGAGGCCTTGAAATTCAAGACCAAAAACCCGAAGACTAACAGCTGCTCAGAAGAGATGCTCAGTCGCCCCAGCCCCAGGGCTGCTGGACTTGCTACAGCTGCCAGGTCCAGGACTTGGTCCCTCCGGGCCACTTGGGCAAAGCAGAGCAGCAGCAGTAACTTCCTCCACACCTGCCTTCTCTGGAGAGCCCCACCAATATCTGCCTTAGTCTCTTATTTGCAAAAATGCTACAGTGAATTGGAGGGAAGGAGGCCTTTGGAGAACTGGCTTCTTTAGATGTGGGCGGCTCTGGAGTCAGGGGTCCGGGAGCCAGGCCTGGGGAGGAGCTGCAGGTTAATGTGCACCATAGTCAGAGAGTACGTTTCTGAGTATTGTCGTCAATGTGAAATGTCAAGATAATGAGATAGTCCTTAAGTGAGGAGTAAGTGACTATTTTAAGAGCTGATCGCAGTCGGGGTTGCATGACAGTTGTGTGCATGACTCCTGAAAAGTACAAGTCTGTACCTCTCCCTGTGTTAGGGTTTCAGCATGGGGGTGGAGTATATGGGAAGCGTCCACTCATCTTGGACATGTCCACTGTACAGAACTTCTGATTACCATGTGCCCTGGGCAAAAATCTCCCTGAGGGTCCCTTTAGAAATAAGCAACATTTCTAAACTAGTCTTGAGCCTTCTTCTTAAACTGGTGCTAGCCATGCGCATCACATCCCACAGATGCGCCTCAGCCTTTCATTGAAAGCGGGTCGTTGAAATGTGAATCTGCCCCAATCCTTGGGCAGCGCTCTTCCAGTGAGGAAAGTCAAGACTTTGTGATTTAGTCAAGTTGAAGCACCAATTTACATATTTGGAAGGAAAATCAAAATTAGGCTGTTTTCATGTAGACTGGGCAAAATGCAGATGGAGCTGTAGCTTAGGAGACGAGATGTTTTACATGCCTTAAACACCCGGGGGATGAGCTGAAATTGCTTGGTTGATGCAGATGTACAATGTGCTTGATGACACGCAGCGAATGAGGCGCGGCCGTCGGTGTGAAGCATGGAGATGTCTCGTTCTCGTTTCCTGCGTTGCAGCCCCTCCTCCACGTTTCTCTCAGAGGCACCTCCCTCACTGTCCTTTAGAGTGGTGGCCTGCGTCTCTGCCCACCGGGTTCGTGCAGGCAGATAACGTGACACACAGGGGTCCTCAAACTTTTAAAACAGGGGGCCAGTTCACTGTCCCTCAGACTGTTGGAGGGCCGGACTATAGTTTAAAAAAACCTATGAACAAATTCCTATGGGCCCGGGACGAGTCAGCTGCTAAGCAGGACAGGCAGTGGGGGCAGAAACACCGGCTTGCCAGATAAATGTTGTGGCCCGCCGGCCGTAGTTTGAGGACCCCGGTAAAGCTCATTAGGAGAAAGGCCACAATTACAAACCAATCGTTGTGGTCCTCTGTAACCGTGCTGCTCCTGTTTCAGTGTGGATCTGAATTGCGTGGGGGGCTATTTTAATGTGTGTTCCGATTCGGTAGGTTTGATAGCATGCAGCATAACAAATTACCCCCAAACTTAGCGGCTTAATAGAACAGACATAGGATCTTACAGCTTCTTGGGTCAGAACTTCTGGAGCAGTATAATGGGGTGATTCTGGCTCACGATCTCTCCGGACCTGGCAAACAAGCCAGGCTCACCCTCGTGGTTGTTGGCAAGTTCATGGCTTCAGTTCTGTGCCGGCTGTTGGCGAGTGGACTCAGTTCCTTGCTCTGTGGGCCTGTCAAGGTTGCTTGAGGGTCCTCACTCTGTGTCAGCCTGCTTCCCCCCGAGGGAGCTATCCAAAGAAAGAACCAAGAAGAAACCAGTGACTTTATCACCCAGTCTCAGAGTCACACACACCTCACTTCCGTGGCAGTCTACTCCGTAGACACACGTTATCGTCTGGCCACCCTCAAGGGAAGGAAGGGTAAGCTTTGCTTTTTGAAGGAAAAGGTGGCAAGGAATTTGTGGGCACCTTTTAAAACCACCCCAGGTCAGGCTGATCGAGTGCTGCAGGTGCTGGTCCTTTGGGTAGATGGCACTTGGAGGACCAGCCAGAGAGCTCAGTCACGCAACGCCACTCTCCTGGGACTGAATCTACCACCTGAATAAGTCAGCCCCAAATAACTATCTAAAATAGTCTTCCTCTTTGTTTGATCTGCTTATATGTAAACCATATCAGCACAAATAACGAAGTTTTGCCCCCTCCACTCCCAATCCATCCAGCTCTCTTTAAAAAACCTGTCGGATGTATTCTGAACAAACTTCAAAGTTGGCAGATGCGCCTCCACTTGAGGAAAGAACACCAGGAACATCCTGTTTTCAGTTTTCGTCATGAACTTCAGTGACTCCATTCCCCGAGCACATAGATCTCACCTCAGCCCACTGGGACGCTAACTTAATCTCTGCACCTGCATACAGTGTGCCGCCTCCCCAAGGTCCTCCTGTGCTTGGGGCTTTTTTTAGCCTCTCATTCAATTTGGTGGTTTCTTCTTTTTTAAATATAGTAGGTGTGATTCTCCTGAGAATGTCTGATGTTCAGCACATTAGTCATGATTGTGCCTGGCATCAACCCTTGTCAGATGTGGTGACGATAATTCCATATGCTATTGATTAGCCTTAAAAGGCTTTAGGCTTAAAAGGCTTTAGTGCTTTAGGCTATCAAAATAGTTATTCAAACTGTAATTCAGTAAACTCTTTGCCGCTGAGCACGATAAGGGAGTGATAGCTCTGGTCAGTCAATAATGAGAGAATAAAAATGCTGATGGACAAGGCGACTTCAAAAGACTCAAGGAAAAGTAGAATTAAAAGATAATGGAATTTATCCATGAGGTTTTATTAAAAATTTTATTGGCATATAATTCACAAATTACACAATTCACATAGTTCAGCCACATTCCATGAGCTTTTTGAATCTATTAGCCCTTGTATCTACTAGAGTGGCTTGCAGTTTTCTAAAAAGATAAATTAAATTCAAATAAATGTAACGTTACTAAGACTACTCCATAAACACAAAACTAGAGAACAGCCCATCACAGTTATGCCTGTGCGATTCCAGCCTCAGGATCGGTTGTGAAACAGGCAATTAGATACCAAAAAAAACACAACCTCTCTCCTAGTGATCCTCACAATTTCATCATTAGTATTTTTTCCTTCGCATTTAGCATTGTCTTTTCCCCATATCCACGTTTAAGATAAAACTGTCTCAGGGAGAGAAAGCCCATGAACTCCCTTAGACTTTAAAATGCCCGAGATCACACTGACCTGGTGATGACAGGTCGAGGGACATAGATGGACAGGGTCGTTGAAGAAATAGCCTGGGGACCACATGTGGCCTCCTCTGGCTACACAAGGGAGAAGAAGAATTCAACTCCACACCAGCCTAAAGCGTTTTGTCACGGGCAGCAAGCGTGCCTCTTCCCGCTCTCCAACTTCTTTGACCCTATTCTAACACCAGCTGTCTGTCCCTCTACCCTCTACTTCTCTGCTGGGATGCTCATCGGTTGCCATGGCCACACAGAACTCACATGATTATGAGGGTTTATTAGGGAAGTAAGGGGGTTCCAAAGGTCGAGTTCCAAAAGCTTTAAGGATGCAGTCCTTTGTCCAGAGTGCCTCTTCTTGACCGTGCCAGCACCCACATCTGGCCCTCCAGTCTCTCAGCATGTGACCCCTCAGTCTCTGCCTCATTCCATGGCCAGAAAGTTCCATCCCCACCTGCTCTGCTTCACGGTTTGGGGGCTGCAGGGTCTGCCCCTCCGCCCGCTCAGGCAGGACTCTTACACGCGCTCTGCTGGTGGCCTTTCCTCCTTCGTGGTCATGGAACCTCCTGTCCCTGCTTCTGAAGTGGCTCCCTCTTAATACCCAGCAGAATGGCAAAACTGACTGATCCCCAAGGTGAATCCTCCAGACCTTAGGTGCAAACAAATACAGACTGTGGATGGAACAACCATAGCAAGTACATCTACTTCTCTGCAGTAGTGGATGGGGGGAGCGTGGTACAAGAAAAGGATAGGACTTAACATTGGAGGGAGTGGGTTTGTCTGCTCTTTAGTCATTTGGCCTCACTCAGGCTTCAGTGACCAAGTTGTGATGACGTGAAGTGTCATTAAAAGGAGAAGATCTTTCTGCTTACTAGAATTCCAGATGGGCAGTGCTTACTGTCTGCTCTTCGACAGCAAAGTGCGTGGCTTGATTTTTGTGCTGAGGCGATTGAGATATTGCCTCTGAGTATATCATCGTCTGAGACTTGGTACTGTTCACGATAGAATCTAAAATTCAGATACATAGTTCGAACTGTGGAGATTTTCATGTACTTACAAATCTACTCATCACTCATGCAAAGCTGAATGTTCTTTTAAACAGCTTATGTATTTTTTCCCTCCATTTCCTGAGAGTAAGTGCATTTAGAAACTGTCGAGAAATTGATGCGCCTTCAGGTCTACCAATCCATTCTTGGAAGTTAGACCGAATGTGCCCTCATTCTCTGAGACATAATTTGAACTTTTCTGCTGCAGTCTCGCCATTTAAAAAAAATACCGTTCCCAGCCTTGCTTTGCCTCTAGGACGGCTGTCCCAGTAACTGGATTTATGTCTTTGAACTCAGGGCTTGTTGTTCAGTATTCAAATGACAATGGCATTCTGTGGCATTTGCTTCGAGAACTGGACTTCATGTCATTTCTGGAGCCACAGATCATTTCCATTGACCTGCCACGGGAGGCCAAGACTCCTGCTACAGCATTTCGGTGGTGGCAGCCTCAACATGGTAAGTCGCCTCCCACCCCACATCTTTTGATCAGAGTAGATCATACAGCCAAAGCCACGTTGTATTGCATGTTTTCTTAATTTGCTGCCAATTTGTAGGCAATTTGATTTCCAAGCCCAGTCATCAAGCTATTCATATTGCTATGGAATGAGCCTTCTCTAACTGCTTGTTTTCATCTGATTTTAGGAAAGCATTCAGCCCAGTGGGCTTTGGATGATGTCCTTATAGGAATGAATGACAGCTCTCAAACTGGGTTTCAAGACAAATTTGATGGCTCTCTGGATTTGCAAGCCAACTGGTACCGAATCCAGGGAGGCCAAGTGGATATTGACTGTCTCTCTATGGATACTGCTCTGATATTCAGTGAAAACATAGGTACAGATTATCACCTGATAAAGGAGAATACTTGATCAACTAAGCAATTAAGTGAAACTCAAGAGGAAATTCTCGAATGCAAAATTGGGTGTATAAGTGCTGGTACTAAGAGAGGCACCTAGGGAAAGGGGTCATATTGTCCTCTAATACAAGTTGGTGAGCCCAGTGACTTGGTTGTACTTGTGACTGCCTTTCACAGAGCATGGGCTATATAAGAAGCTTTCTTACAAACAGAGCAAGAAGGAAGACATTCCTGTACTTCCTAATTTACAAATTGACAGACTTAGGACTCTAGGTTGGTCCTTCTGGGTAGTAAAGCTTACGAAGTTAGCAGTCTCTGTATTTCTGGGTCTATAGCAGAGGTTCCCAACTTCCTAGGTGTATTGAAAAAAAAGCAATGACTTAGAAGCCCCCACACACACACACACACATACTAATCATTTAAAATGTGTATATCATAACTTGTAATCCAGGTTAAAGTGTAGCTATCTGCTTTTGTAGCCCTTCCTCCCCACCCCCATCATTCCAGTGCCCTCCAGCAGACAGTATCCCCACACACACCCCAACACATACACACACATACATTGGGAAACACGGGTCTATAGAAACTAAATAAAAACAGAGTAAATGTGATTAGTCAAAGCACATATACAGTACTAAAAATAAGCTGCTGTTTTTGTTTGCTATTGAAAATGTTGACTACAAATATCCATACAGTAAGAGCAAAATTCTAACGTACAACTTTCCTCTAGTTCTTTAATGCTTCCTCTCCCTCCCCCCCATTATCATGACCCCAATTATACCTTATAAATCCAGCTAGACCAGAGCATGCACACGGGTACAGATAAGAGCTGGAAACACAGGAAATCCAGGACAGATAAAGCCCTCAGGACCGATATGGAGAGTAGCGATACCAGGAGGGGAAGGGGAAGGTGGAGGAGGTGGGGAGAACTGATCACAATAATCTGCATATAACTCCATTCCCAGGGGGATGGACAACAGAAAAGTGCGTGAAGGGAGACATTGATCAGTGTAAGACATAAGAAAATAATAATAATTTATAAATTATCAAGGGTTCATGAGGAAGGGAGGGTGGAGGAGGAAGGGGAAAAAATGAGGAGCTGATACCAAGGGCTCAGGTAGAAAGAAAATGTTTTGAGAACGATGATGGCAACAAATGTGCAAATGTGCTTGACACAATGGATGTATGTATGGATTGTGATAAGAGTTGTATGAGCCCCCAAGAAAATGAATTTTTTTAAAAATAAAGGAGCTGATAATACCAAGGGCTCAAGTAGAAAGAAAATGTTTTGAAAATGATGATGGCAGCATATGTACAAATGTGCTCGATACAATTGATGTCTGGATTGTTATAAGAGATAGAAGAGCCCCCAATAAAAATATTTATTAAAAAAAGTTTAAAATTCTATACTACCATTAAACTCTTCTCCTTTTTTCCAATAGGAAAACCACGTTATGCTGAGACCTGGGATTTCCACGTGTCCGCATCGACCTTCCTGCAGTTTGACATGAGCATGGGCTGCAGCAAGCCTTTCAGCAGCTCGCACGGGGTGCAGCTGCAGCATTCTCTGAACAACGGCCGGGACTGGCAGCTTGTCACCGAGGAGTGTGTGCCTCCGACCATCGGCTGTGTGCACTACACAGAAAGTTCTGTTTACACCTCGGAACGATTCCAGAATTGGAAGCGGATCACCGTCTACCTCCCACTCTCCACCATGTGAGAATTGTCATTGGGCTACCTATCAGAATTTTGAGTTTCTGTTGTGTAAATTGAAGACAAGTGTGCTGCCAATCAGGGATTTCATGATTCAGCGCATGTGGAATGTGATAGGGAAATAAAAAGTACAAGATGGTTTGGGTTGCAATTTTCAAGCGGGGTTAGAAAGTTCTAGAAGTTTTACAAGTCTGGGCTTGTAGGGTTCTTTGATAGCATGATGTTTCGGTTTTAAAACAGCTGTAAAAGTAAGTCCCTACCTAGAATCCAAACGAATACCTCGTCACAATGAGCAGCCTATGAAATTAGCCCATACAGAAGAGGATCCTGAGCTACTTTTCTCAGTCCCACGTTGGTTTATAGAAATCCCTTACAAAGAGCTCCTGTTGTGTGTAGGCATTTGGATCACGTGTAGGCATTGGGGATGTTTCTAGGAATGAATGTCTACTGCGATGACTTTTTGAACGATTCTTGGTGGTGCTGAGATTTAGACATTAAGATGCTAACCCCAAGTTTGACAGTTTGACTCCATCAGCTGCTCCATGGGGGTGGGGGGGAACATGAGACCATCTGCTCCCGTAAGGTTTATAGTCTCATTAGGAAAAAAAAAAAAGATTCATGTCTCACAAATCCTATATAGGGTCGCTCTGAGTTGGGATTGACTTGATGGCAGTGGGTTTGGTTTTTGTTGAGTGATGGCTGGTTAGAGTGTGCCATCCAGGGATGCTCTCCCCAGAACTGTGTTGTCCTTTTCCCTGGTCTCAGCAGGGTGCACTTCCCAGCATCATCCTGTGTCTACTGATTTCCTGGTAGTTAAACAGTAGAAGAGGCTGGCAGAGAAATCTTGGTAGCATAATGGTTAAACTCTTGGCTGATAACAAAAAGGTTGGTGGTTCAAATCTACCCAGAAATTCTACAGAAGAAAGACTTGGTGACCTGCTTCTATAAAGATTTATAGTCTCGACAGCCGTATGAGCAGGTCCTACTCTGCCACATGTAGTTGCTATGTGTACGCATCACATCATGCTGGTTCTCAGTCTTGGGGAGCCAGGACCTCAGGAAAAATAAGTAGTAAAGGCTGGGGTTGCATAGGGCTTTCACTCACAAACCTTATAGCAAACACCAAGATTCCATATGTGTTTAGTAAAATGAAACCGTTCAGTAGCTTGACCGTCTCACAGTTTTATAATTTGATGTAGATGGTGAATAAATAGCATGTGTTCTATTGTTTTGTTGAGCATGAGTCCAGAAGAAACATCTTCCGATACTTAGTATGACATCCAAAGCAAACCAGCTCACTGCCATTGAGTCCGTGCTGACTTACAGTGACCCCTGCGGGTTTCTGAGACTAACTGTTCTCGGGAGTAGAAAGCCCAGTCGGTCTCCCTCCGAGCTGCTGGTGGTTTTGAACTGCTGATCATGTAGATCACAGCCCAACTTGTAACCTCTACAAAAACCAGGGAACTGGAACCTGGAGGAAGGCACATTACAGAGGAAGGAATTAAAATAGAGGTCTGTGTTCTTCTAAGGCTCCTTGTCAAACCAATAGTGTGATTTTGTGCGTTAGTTCTCCCAGGACCCGGTTCAGATGGATCCAGGCCAACTATACTGCGGGGGCTGATTCCTGGGCGATTGATAATGTTGTCCTGGCCTCGGGGTGTCCGTGGATGTGCTCAGGACGAGGGATTTGTGATGCTGGACGCTGCGTGTAAGTTAATACAACTGGGCAGTCCCTTTCACTGCAGTACAAAATTTCAAATGACTCAAAATTTCAAATGACTGTCATGACAAATAATGTCTTTTCTTTTTCTTAGGTGTGACCGGGGCTTTGGCGGGCCATACTGTGTTCCTGTTCTTCCTCTGCCCTCCATCCTTAAAGACGATTTCAATGGGAACTTACATCCCGACCTGTGGCCAGATGTCTATGGAGCAGAGAGAGGGAATCTAAATGGTGAAACCATCAAATCTGGAACGTCCCTCATTTTCAAAGGGGTCAGCCAAGATTCTCTGTCTCTACATGAGTGCTAATTTCTTTCTCTGCAACTGTAGTTACATAAATGCATTTCTGAGTCTGTTTGGAGGACAGTACTTTGAACTTAGTCATTGTCTTTAAGCCTGAACCTTATTTCCTTTTCTATTCACTACAATCATGCTTATGCTCTAACTGCAACATAAGTCTCCCTCAGTTTTGTTGATCAAGCCTTTCATACTTCATACACCCACCCCCCCCCCACACACACACACACACAGATTTTTAGGACCTAGGCCAACTTCCAAAATGTAGTATTTTAGCCTATTAAATATTTATCTTAAAATGTTTCTCAATGATTTTATGAAAGTCTTTGATTTTACCCCCTTTTTTTGCCTTCCTGTCAATAGCATCATTTGGTGACTTTAAAAATATCAAACATTTCAGTGTCGTTAATGTAATCCTCAGACATTGTTAGTAGAGTTTTGTATTTTAGCCATGCTGCCTAGTTAGAGAGATGTGTTCTTAGGCAGTGGTGTGAAACTCGGTGGTAAGCTGGCAGTCTTCCTTGTGAACGCAGGCTGCATCCCGTCTCGCTCAGCATGGAGAGAGGGGCGAAGCAAGGTGTGCAAATGAAATCTTTAACAAAAATCTGCATGGGATCCTATACAGCCCTAGTTATTAACACCTAGGCCGAAGAGAATTAGACACCCTGGAACTTTTTCAATTACAGCTAATAGAGGCTGGTTAGCATCCTTGTTTAAATCCAGACCACATCGCAAGTGTTGGACAGGAAAGAAATGCAAGGACCCGAGACATTTACAAGTCTCCAAGCGTTCTGAGGGGCTGATGAAACTGAGATTGAACATCTATCTCAGGGTGGAAACGACCATTTCATGTTGGTGTTCGGTGCATCATTTCTGAGCCTACCCTATGACTTTGCTGTCATGACCTTTCACTCACTTCAGATCCATTTGAAGCGCTGACAAGACCAAAGAAACCGAAGCCCTGTGATGTTTCGTGATTCAAATCTCTCCGTCTGATGGATTTTTCAGCAGCAGAATTAACTTGGTGTCTTGTGGTTGTTGGTTGCTGTCAAGCATTTCCAACTCCTACCGAGCCTCAGTAGAGCAGCACGAGAGTCTGACCAGGCCTGCGCCCTCCTCCCGGGTCTTCCGTGTGAGCCCTTTGTTGCAGCCGCTGTGTCAGTCCACCTCACGGAGGGCCTTCCGCTGTTTCGCTGACTCTGGGTCCTGTATGAGCAAGACACATACTTTTAAAAATTTTCCTTGTAACCATCAAAATGCAAACGCAACCATGCAGTGTATGTGTTACACGTGGCATCTCTGGCAGCTCTACAAAGTGAAAAGACCTCTTTGAAGTGCTCAAAAGCAAAGATGTCGCTTTGACAAATAAGGTGTGCGACCCACGCCGTGGTATCTTCAGTCGTCTCATATGCCTGCTCAAGCCGGAACGTGAAGAAAGATTCAAGCAGACCCGATGCATCGGAACTATCATGTTGGTAAAGAGTAAGGGGCGTACGATGGGTGGCCGGGGCATGAATGCCTTTGAACGTGGTATCTGGAGAGACCTGTCCTTGGAGACAGACATCCTGCTTGGTAAAACAGCGGGTCAGCACAGAGAGGAAGACCCTCAATGAGATGGATTGACACAGAGTCATCAACAATGTGCTCAAACCTAAAAACAGTGGTGAGGGTGCCCCAGTACTGGACAGTGTTTCCTTCTGTTAGACACAGGGTCAATACGAGTCAGCACTTCACCACGCCTGTATGACGTAGACAGGCTCTGTGTGTGCTACTCTGTGCTTGACCGTTTGAAAAAGGAACGATGGGACTGCTAACCACAAAGTCAGCAGTTCCTCGGGAGAACGCTGAGACTTCCTGTTCCCATGGAGGTTTGCTGTCTCGGAGACCCACAGGGGCAGTTCCACCCTGTCCTTTAGGGTCACTGTAAGTCGGCATCAATTCAATGGCAGTGAATTGAGTTGAGTCTCTATTTTTTATTTTTTTTATAATTGAAGAAGAACAGTTGTTATTAAGTCTTCTTTAATCATTTTATTGGGGGCTCTTACAGCTCTTATCACGAATCATACATCCATTTTATCAAGCTCATTTGTACATATGTTGCCATCATTATTTTCAAAGCATTTTCTTTCTGCTTGAGCCCTGGTATCAGCTCATTTTTCCCCCTCTCCCACCCTACTGAACCCTTGATAATTTATAATATTTTTCATGTCTTGAGTCTATTTTTAATGTTCAAAAATTCATGACTACTATTAGCTATTAAAATAGCTTATTGAATACAAAGACTCCTTGCATTTCACTCAAATGGGTCACTGGGCCAAAAGGAATGAGTAAAGAAACATACTGGTGTGAACCAGATTATACATATCAGCATAAATTGACAGTTCCTGCATGTAATTATCAATATCAGAGTGATGGGCTATAAACAGATATTGCAGAGCTGAAAGAAGCGTGCTTTCAAATGACAGATCATGCCCACTTTCAACAAAATGTACTCCTACCAAATGCAGGGTACAATGGATCCTTTTACGTGTGATTTGTGCTTTCCCCCTGGAGCAATTTTAAACTTACTTCCATAACCAAAGGGAGAGAGCAGTGCTGTTCCTTTGCCTTAAGGGGAGAAAGAGAGAGTCTTTACATGAATCTACCGATCTCCCCCAACATTTTTTTCCACTAAAGCAGAGGAAGCCATCTTTCCCCACAATCTCAAACTGCTTGACACCAAGCTATGTAGACCTTCATTCAAAGCTCGATGAGATTGTAAGTGCGTAAGGCAAGTGTTAAGGTACTGAAGAGAATGACATTAGTATCATTAACTTGAAGAGTAGTGCATGATTAGGCATGGGAAAACACAAAGATTGGAAATACCAGGCTTTTACGTGGTATCCTTCTTAAGTATGAATGCTTAGTGAAGTTCAGAGATGAGAATATATAAATGCTGTTAGCTATCAAACAGTTCTCAAATTCTAAATGTGACATTATCTGGATGTCTTTGCCCAAAGTTAAAAATCTAACTATCACTATGTTATAAAGGGTAGAGAATAGATTTTGGAATATCTGGGTCCACATATTGCCATCACCACTAAAAATTATGTCATTTTAGTCAAGTTAACTGTACCTTTGAGTTTTACTTTCCTTATTGTTAACAATATAGATGACAATCGATAAGTATTGATAATTATCAATGAGAATAATAATATCTTCTTTAGTCACCTTAGGCACTTTAAATGAATAAAATATCAATCTTAGGACCCTGTATGTTGAAAGCATTCAATATGTATCATTGTCAGCCAAGTGTTGGGCTGCTGACAACAAGGTCAGTGGTTCAAACCCACCAGCCACCCCTGGGGAGAAAGATGAGGCTATGCACTCCTGTTGGGATCAAAAGCCTCAGAAACCCTATATGATTTAGAATCGACTCAATGGCAGTGCGTGGGCTTTTTGATAATGACCTTAGCTTTCTTTTCTCAGTGCTAGCTCCTGGGAAACATGCTCCATAGAAATGTCAAAAAGAAAAAGGAGAGTTGGCTTAAACAACATTTGGTGTTTGTTAGTGTGTGCTCAGGAAATGAGTCTGCCGCGTCTACTCAGTATCACACAGCCCTACACACACACACACACACACACACACACACACACACACACACACACGCCAGAAGGACCACTTCATTCAGAAGTCATAGGTGAGAAACACAAACGTCTATTTGAACCTTGGGACATTAACATAGTAAAATTCCATTTTGCTGGCTGTCACACGTCTACGTGGAAAAAAAAACAAGCTTTTGGGCTGTCAATCCCTGGCAAGCAGAAATAGTAAATTAGCAGAAAAAATTACTTAAGCTCATGTGATCACTCTCCTCATCCCTCGGCTTCTCTGCATGAATGGGTCCAGCCAGGCATGGGGCTTGCCTTAGTTATGCCTTATTGAACTTGACCGATCTAGGGGGGTTGCGGTGTCAGCCTGAATGAGAGCCCCCTGGGGCTGTGGAAGTGAAGATGGGAGTAGTAGGTTCCTAAGACTCCTTGGAACCCAGAAGAAGTTACCTATTAGCTCCCGGTTTCCAGCAGAGGCACTTGGCACACTTTCTGCTTCCTCATTACTCCTATCATGACATGCTGTGATCAAAGAGGCTATTTTTCAGAAGCCCTGTCGATCTGTAATGCTATCATTTTTGCACTCCTTTCTCTAAAGTCACAGCAGAACATTGAGTGCAGAAATTGAAATTTGTTCCTCAGGCATAAGTAATGAAAGCCGCTAAGAGGAAGAACAAGGATTGTTCACTCTTCTTGTTTAGCTGGGCACAATGTAATTGGTTTTGACACAATTTCAGATTCCGTTTCTTGATCATTAGTTTATATGAGGGGGCTTCAAAAACTCGCTTTGTCCACAAACGTTTTGAAAATTCCATTATTTTTCATTCTATTTGTTCACGAGCTTTTTGTAGCCCCTTTATATGTTTCTAGTTCTTACTTAATGCAATTTTGAGTTTTAAATCACAGGGAAATAAGGTTGTGAATGCACAGGGGCTTCCTAACACGTAGGTTTTTGTTTCAGGAAGGAATAAGGATGCTTATGTCCAGAGATCTAGACTGTACCAATACTATGTACGTCCAGTTTTCCCTGCGATTTATAGCCAAAGGTAAGTCGTGTCCACGGCCCTGCATTCAGATTTTCCTTCAAGAAAATTCCCTACGCACAATTCTGCCTCCACAGAGCAATAGTGGATTTAAGAGCCACACGTTTTGTTCGATGGAAGAGCTAACATAAATTTTGTGTCAAATGTTCTGTCATGCATGTTTATCCTAATAACAATACAACAGTTATTTTTATAGTAATCTCCATATTTGCTATAGTAATCATACTGGCTCTAAAGCAGTTAAATTTATCCCATGACCCTGAGTCTACTGCCTAGCTATATGACTTTTAAGTTTTAAAATTAAATTAGGGAAATTTTGGATTTTCTATTACAGATGTGCTCTCTTCCCCGGCGCAAAAAAACCCAAAACAATATATTCATTGACATTCTGTTCTTTCATATTCATTGAATAATGTCCTTACAAAATAATACCATTGGGATATAATTCATTTTCAAGTAGTTAATTTGGGGTTTGTTTAAATGTTGTACCTAAGTTTTAAATGTTGAGCCTTTTGTACGATGATAATGTCTATTGAATCAAAAAAATGGAAGCGCTCTGTCCTAAATAAGCTACAGAAGGGAGATGCATGTGCATATCTAAGGGAAAGAGAGACTAACTCTTGTGTGGAAATCCAAGATTTGGTGGGTGTCTTGAGATAGATCCGTATAGAAAGCCCAACCTACCATTGTTTTCAATGGTCCCTCATGTGGCTTTGTGCCATGAAGCTTCTGTGTAATTATCAATCAGCTTATGCACAGATGCCCAAACAAACAAAGAACATACTGTTTCCCCATTTTCATAACAATACTTTTTATGCCTCTGTTATCTTCTTTCTAGGTGCCCCAGAGAGGTCTCACTCTATTTTGTTACAATTCTCCATCAATGGAGGGATCACTTGGCACCTCATGGATGAATTTTACTTCCCTCAAACAACCAACATACTTTTCATTAATGTTCCCTTGCCATATATTGCCCAAACCAACGCCACAAGATTCAGGCTCTGGCAGCCTTATAATAATGGTAAAATTGCATGTGCTCCCCTGTGCTCAGAATTGACTGTGATGTGTTAGTTATTGTCTCTAAGGTGGGGGCGGTCTATCAACTGAGGGCATAGCTGTCCGTGGCCTGCACACTGTACATGAAGGAGGCTCCATTAATGTTGAACTTTTCTTTTTCTTGATCACCTCTCTGGACTTGAGCAAAATCTCCTGATGATGTAAATGGAACTCAACCCTGTCACGGAGCTAATAAGGTTTTAAAAAACAGTCTTCCATTAGGCACTCATCAATTGTGACTTAATTGTTGTTGAATTCATTTAGACATATATAGTTCTCCTGAGTGTGGCATTTCATTAATAAGATAGAACAACGGTATAGCAAAATGCCATGACTAAGCAAGAGGGATTTTAGGCCAAGCTAATCGTGACTTAGATAAAATATTCTTATCACAAAGAGTTATTATAATTATGCTCCTTCTTCAGTGATAAGTTAAAGTGAGTGTATAATTTAATAGGGTTTTCAAATGGTTACAGAAAGTGATTCTGTAAATTTGTAATATATATTACTTCCTGAATTTCTATTAACTGCTGATTATATAAAGGACCAGATTTTACCAAGTCATGCCATTAGCAGTCTAAGTAATTACTGAGAAACCACAGAAAGGAGATTTTTGGCTGAGGTATCACAGAAATAGATAAGAAAAAATTTTGATATCTCTAAAAGAGCCCATTTCCTTGTTAATAAGTCAAAAAATAAGATTGAAAATTTAGCTTACTGTGAACAGAGAAAGCCTGTCTTCTCCAAGCCTATGGCTGTCGGTCAGTTCTGACTCCTGTGACTGTCCAGGACAGAGGAGGGTCTCGAAAGCTGTAAACTTGACCGAGGCAGACCGCCCTACCTTCCTCCCACGGAGCTGCAGGGGGGTTCTAACTGCCAAACTGTTGGTTCCCAGCTGGGTGCTTAACCACTGCACCACCAGAGCTCCTTTCTGGCTTCCATAGTCACCAAGTGAAAATCCAAGAAGGGAATGGGCCAGTTTCACAGTTCAGAGGATCATTGGCTTCATGTTGTGCTTGGATTCCTGCTCTTCATGGTTTTTAGCAGTTGCTTCCAAAACAAGGAGAGGAAGCGGTTGGGATTGAGACAGAGAGAGAATGAGGGGCATGCTTTCATGGAAGGAACCCCACTCCTGCACATGCCCATGTGTAGATCTTATTTATAGTTTGTATACCCTTCCCTAGAGTGGAAGTCACTTGAAGCAGCCACCGCACAGGGCAGTCTTCCCTCGGCTGCTTGCCAGCATCTTCTCCCTGTTTCAATTCAGTCCAACAAGCACTTTGTCAGAACACCGCCCTGGGTTTCCCGTCCGCCCTTCTCTATCAACAGACGCCTCCAACCCCAGCCTAAGTCACTGAGTCAACGCCTTTAACAACCATGCATGAGTTTTCTAGATTTTGCCATATAACTTTAAATAACTATGGTTCTCTAAATACCAAGAGGAAAATAAGGAAGATGACACACAGCCCTTCTTGGCTGTGTGCTTTCTAGCAACCAAATAAAAGTATGCACAGCAGCAATATTGTAATCTCCGTGACCCTCACGTTCCGTTGGCTGAGCGTCAATCACAAAGTCATGTGTTGGCCCTAAAAAGCCAAGAAATAGTCTTTGGATCGACTACTTAGCAGACACCTCTGTGTTTCGAACACCCCTCCTCACCCATCCGTCTGTCTTGCATCCTTATAAACATCAAAGAATACAAATCACCGCCCGTTCTTGCCACCTGAGACCCCTCTGCAGCTGTGTCCGGGAGGGCCCAGGGGGCAGCGCACCAGTCCCTTCAGGCATCGCTTTCTGAAAGGGGGAGGCTGGTCTGCAGTGTTCGTTTCTCACGGCTGCAGGCTTCCGTTCTGTCCGCTTTAATCACCATGATGTATTTGTCTCTCTTGGTTAGGAGGGCATAGGCTTACCCTGTGTGTCTAGTTCCTTGGGTCCTTTCGTTTCCTCCGGTGAGCAAATGTCTCCGTCTGATTTTTCATCCTTGGGGGGAGAACAACATGCTTTATCCAAAATTGCCTTAGGTAAGAAAGAAGAAATCTGGATCATTGACGACTTCATTATCGATGGGAATAATTTAAACAATCCTGTGATGCTTCTGGATACCTTTGACTTTGGGCCCAGAGAAGACAATTGGTTTTTTTATCCTGGTGGTAACATCGGTCTGTATTGCCCATACTCTTCGAAAGGAGCACCGTAAGTGTTGAATCGAGTAGCTAAAAATCAAATCAGCGCTCTGTACAAATCGTGATCAACGTTTGCCTAAACGACTGTCTTGCTGTTTTCCTTGACTTGCAGCGAGGAGGATTCTGCCATGGTGTTTGTTTCTAACGAAGTCGGCGAGCATTCCATCACTACCCGAGATCTGAATGTGAATGAGAATACCATCATACAATTTGAGGTACTTCCTTTGATTGCACACACTTTACATTTTATTGTGAACAAAACCTAGAAAGAAAATCTTCCTCCCCCAACTACCAGGACCCCAATTCTGCCTTGCAGACCTGGTTAGATCTGAGGATACACAGCGGTACAGATGGGAATTGGTAATGCAGGGAACCTAGGACAGATGAACCACTCAGGACCAGGGGTGACAGTGGTGAAACCAGGAGGGAAGAAAGGGGGAATTGATCACAGGGAGCTACATATAACCTCCTCTCTGGGGGATGGGTAGCAGAGGGGTGGGTGAAGGGAGACACCGGGCAGTGTAATATAAGATACAATAATAATTTATAAATTATTAAGGGTGCATGGGGGAGAGGGGAGGAGGAAGGGAGGGGGAGGGGAAAAAAGGAAAATGAGCTGATTCCGGGAACCCAAGAGGAAATTGAATTTTGGGAATAATGAGGGCAACAAATGTATAGATGTGCTTTACACAATTGATCTATGTATTATGATGAATTGTATGAGCCTCAATAAATTGATTTTAAAAAAATTAAATATGGGGGAAAAAAATCTCAGAGATTTTCATGCACGATGAGTTTCCATTTTTGCACAAGGACATAAGAGGCTTTGGCATCACAATTCATTTTGATTAGCCAGACCAATTGTGATACACAACCGAAAACCAATCTCACTACCACTGAGTCGATCCTGACTCAGAGCGACCCCATGTGGCAGGTAGAGCTGCCCTTGAGGGTTTCTGAGACTGTAACTCTATACTAGACTAGAAAGCCACGTGTGTCTCCCACAGAGCAGCTGGTGGTTTCGAACTGCTGACCTTGTGGTTATCAGCCCAACATGTCACCACTATTTCTGAATTGTCTTTTATTTATGGCATAATGTACCCACCGACTGCAAATGGGGAGTTCCTGAAATAAGTTATTTTATACATTATAAACATTTGAAAGCTCATATTATTCTAGTACTACTCTACAGACATGTGGTCACCATGAAGTCAGACTCGACTGATGACCACTGACAAAAGCAGCACATGTCAGTTACTTACGGTCCAATCAGTATACTTGTCCGCACCATGCTAGCACTGATAATGCTATTGATGGGTGTGTGACATTTATGTGCTACATATCATCATGAGGTAATGAATTTTACCACTTTTATCATTTCAAATACACTGGACTACGCTATTTTTATCATTTCAAATATAGTCGCTCTGTTTTATTAAGATCCCTGTGCTCCTTATATTGTTCAAGAGACCAAATGTGTAATACTGTGTAGAAGAAAAGCCTTTGATGAAAAACTCTTAGGTGAAATCACCAGATGCATTCTACCTGTGCTCCACGGTACTCGCGTCAGAAGGCCTGGTTTCCCACCTGCAGCCTTATGTAAAGTCACGCCTAACGAAGCAGGACAATGCTGACTGTTTGCTGTGGTGTCACTGCCTGTCTCTCGTGGAGTGTTCCTTTCCATCTCCAGAGTCAGAGGCCAAAGGACGACGCATTGATAGAATGATTTTTATGGACTTGCTTTTTAAAAAAATCACTTTATTGGGGCTCATACACCTCTTATCACTATCCATACATCCAGCCATTGTGGCAAGCACATTTGTATGTACTTGCTTAATGAAGGTTTCTGCTATAGCTCCTAATTTTGTCTTGTATTTTGCAATGCTAATAAAAGGTAGCATCTTTGGCCCTCTTAAGAGGCCTGTTAGGGAAATGTCTAGGTAGAAACAAGCACCTGGAGTTGAAAGTTTCCATTTACTAATCAGAAGGTAAGAGCAGGAGTAAATTCACAATATGTGTGTATACATACATATATGTACACACGTGTGTATACATGAATGTTATGCACACCCATAAGTACAGGTTGTGTATGTATGTGTGTATGTGTATATATATATATATATATATATATATATATATATATGCGTGTGTGCATGTACTTAAATGTTATGCATATACATGCATACCCATAAGTACAGGTTGCATATGTATGTGTGTGTATATGTATATGTGTGTATATATGTGTGTGTACATAAATGCTATGCATACACATGCACACCCATAAGTACAGTTTGCGTATGTATGTGTGTGTGTATGCGTCTGTGTATACATAAATGTTATGCATACACATGCACAACCATAAGTGCAGGTTGTGTATATATGTATGTGTGTGTGTATATATGTGTGTGTGTATATAACTGTTATGCATACACATGCACACCCATAAGTACAGGTTGTGTATGTATGTGTGTATATGTGTATGTGTGTGTATATATGCGTGTGTGTATACATAAATGTTACGCATACACATGCACACCCATAAGTGCGGGTTGCGTACATATGTGTGTGGCAATGTTTAGTTGCTATGATTGTAAGAAAATAGTCATTTCAATATGAAGGGAGGAGTTCATGGGAAAAAATAGCAATGCATCGTAAAGCTTTAGTTTAATTCCCTTGAAAGCATGGAAAAGGGAGAAGTGTGTTCTCTCTCTAAATGGTTAAAGAGCTTTGTGAGTGCTCTTGCAGTGCCAGGGAGTCACATCAGTGGGAAGTATTTAGTTTTCTTTTAACATTCAATCTGCCTTGATGGCTCTCCGGGTACAACGCTTCTGGGATATTTGGAAGGTATACAAGAAGTACAAGAGAAGGTATTCCTACCTAACAAAAGACAGAAAAGCTGGAAGGTTAGGGCAAGTCTTTCCGTTAGAATCTGCTCTTCTTGGCCACAAACTGGAGCCAAATGTACAACCCGGAGGTCAGTCGGAGCCTTGGCTTTACCACTTCTTAGGGTTTTGTTTGTTCATTTATAAAGTGAGAGAAAATAAATTTGTCATATGGGCCCTTGAGGTTCTTTTTGAAAAATTATTATTTGAAGGTAATCTACAACATTGGTTAAGGAAGACAGTGTTGAAGATCCCAACCAGAGAGCTCCCAGGAAAGGGACCCTGGGAGAGCATGCCGTGGTGAAGCATTTCCAGGCCCGTTGCTCTCTGAAGTCACTTGTCTCCTTTGTTCTTCTTCCCCAAGATCAATGTTGGGTGCTCCACGGACAGCTCGTCTGCTGATCCAGTCAGACTGGAATTTTCCAGGGACTTCGGGGCGACCTGGCACCTGCTGCTCCCCCTCTGCTACCACAGCAGTAGCCATGTCAGCTCCTTGTGCTCCACGGAGCACCATCCAAGCAGCGCCTATTATGCCGGCACCACCCAGGGCTGGCGGAGGGAGGTCGTGCACTTCGGGAAGCTGCACCTGTGTGGGTAAGGGCCCTCTGGATTTACTTCTCTCTGGGCAGTTAGCTCCCTGAGGTCGCCACTGACTCCGCTGGGGATCTATTCACCCTGCGTTTCTCCCGTGGTTCTCAAGCAGGTCAGTGTGCTTGCAATAACTTCTTTCACTCCCTTTCACACACACACACACACACACACACACACACACACACACGAGCCTCTTCATATTTCTTGAAGGAGCCCTGGTGGTGTAGGGGTTATGCTTTGAGTTGCTAACCACAAGATTGATTGTTCGAAAGCACCAGCCACTCCTCAGGAGAAAGATGAGGCTTTCTAATCGTGTGAGGATTCACAGTCTCGGGAAACACGCAGGGGCAGTTCTGCCCTGTCCTGTATTGTCGCCGTCAGGTGGCACTGACTCGGACTGCAGTAAGTTGGAGTTTTCTATTGCTTGAAGAAGACCTGGTACCATATGGGGCTACATGTGGGGCTGCTAACCGCAAGGTCGGCAGTTTGAAACCACCGATGCCCCTGCAGAAAAAGATGAGGCACTCTACTCCTATGAGCATGTACCATCTCAGAAACTCACAAAGGCAGTCTACTCGGTCCAATCAGGTCACTAGTGTCAGAAATGACCCCATGGCAGTGAGTTTGGTTTGTGGGTTTTGTATTTCTTACAGACAGCACTGAGCCAACATCATCACTAACTTAAGTTTTGAGATAGATTTGAAGAGTACACGGTGGACCACATCTTATGGTCAAGTTCACCTCCAGATGGGTCTGCTGTTAGACTCATGAGGAGGCCCCAGAAATCTGGTTAGCCCCTCCACCCCCACCTCAATGCAGGTAGAATTGTATCACTTTGGAAAACCAACCTAAGTTTCGCATGCAGGCAGAGTGCATTTAGAGAACCACAGAATATTCTTGTCACCTTATTACAAAAAACACTGCTAGCACTCCCCCTGCAGGCATTTCTACTTTTTCCACCTTCCTCCGCATCCTTTTTTTTTTTTTGCATCTCTTTGACTTTTCTGTTGAAAAGCTCTCTGGAGATAAAGGACTTCAACCCTAGTAAAATGAAATGGAAAGTATGGTTCAAAAAATAATACAATAACACAAGGGAGCAAAGAGAGGCAGGCAGTAAAGCAGACTGAGCATTGCTGTTTCTTCGATAGAATAAAGAACTTATTCTTTCAGTGTATATACAAAAACGAAGACAGGGCTAATAGACTCTGAAATTGGAAACATTTATATTCCTGATGTGAAAGGAGCATGATTATAAGTCGTGGGTCTTCGAGCAAAACTACTAATACTTAGTACTTTACCAAAAGGGTGAAAGTGAATTTTCAAAGTCTGCAGGCTCTCTGACGTCGTCCATCCACTCCTCTACCCATCAGCACAACTTTGATGATACGATTGCTAAAGACTGATGTTTTATGTTGATGAGCTTGTCATTTACTAGCCATTGCTATTACATCTGTATTCTTATAGAAGATCCAAATACTTATGAAAATAAGCATTATTACTAAGCAAAATGTCCTTGGGATTCTTTAGAAGCGATAGCCCAAGGCGCTGGGGGAGTCTGGAGACCCTAAGACTAGATAGGGCTGATAGCACAGACAACTCAAGCCGAAGGCTGCTTTGGGAGCAGAGATTGTCTGTAGAAGGCTCTGGCAGGGGACTGAAACTCAGGAAAACCATTATCCAAAGTCAGTTGTAAATATATCACAGCCTTTTAAAAACATAAAAAACCTTTTTAAAACGATTGCAAAGGTACTGAGGAATTTCACAGACTGTGGAACAGAAATGTGTGGATCTTATCCTGATCGTGCTGACATTAACATCACAAACTATAGGTTTCATTTCCTATCATTCTAATTCCTAATTGCTGGGGCCAGGGAGTCTGAACCAATCAACCATGGCCAAAAAGCTGGGTCTTGCATCTGGATGCGGGCTTCTCAGGGTCTACACTTGTGGTTTGAATAAGCAAAGAAAAAGGCCCGAGTGGACATCCGCCTGAGAACCTATTAGCAGAGCTTTCCAACAATGTCATCTCCGTGTTGCTGAGAAGCTCGGCCTTTGCTCTTCAGTAGACTGCTAATCTTTCTAGAGTAAATAGAAAGCAGCCTGAATGATAGGTTGTGGTGCAGGATTTTAGACCGTTTTGATAACTAAGGATGGCTTTAGCCAGTTTCCACATGGAAATAATTGTATGAAAAGAGTATAAAACAAGATCAGAAAGATCTGAGGCACTGAGTGAAGATACACCTGCCAAGGCTGTGTGCAGCATCATGGAAACTACATTCCGCAGCATTAGACTGCGTCCACCGTGGTAGGCTTGCCCATAAGATATGTCAGTATCATAGAGGAATTGCAAGTAGAAGAATGTAGAAATCTATACGTTGATACGTTGCTATTGGGTGTCTGTGTAGAAGATAACTCCTCCTTCACGTGATAACATGATCCGTGGTAGTATGCACAATTTAGTTTGTCATTTGTATTCCATGTCATTTATCACCATGTCATCGTGACTTCTGTGAGAAGGGAATGAGTGAAGGAAGCAGGCCTCCTCTCGGAGTGGTATAAGTCTGCCTTTCCAAGCGGCCTTGAAACGTTTCTGAGATGGGAAGAATTTGACTTCCTGGTGTTGTCGAGCCCTTGTTTCGAGAAGAGAAGGAGCGCTCTTCTTAAAACCCACACAGGCGTGACTTGCTGGAAGGCAAACGTTAAATTCTCTCCAACTCAGTGAACCATTCTTTGGTTGGCATTCAACATAGTACATAAAAACAACACGCGTGCTGGGTTCTAAGTATATATATAACCTATGTCTAAAATACCCTTTCTGCACACTTCCTGGATGCACAGTGCCGTATGTTAAATGTTCCTGTGCTGCAATGACCATAGATAGCTTTTTTTTATTCCCCACACAGTCGATTTACATGTGAAGTATCAGCACTGAGCTTCGTCTCCTTTCATTCACATCACCTTGGTGTCCTTTTCGTCTTGAGCCTTTCTTTGCCCTTAAACCTCCTCTTTGTTTCTGCTTTGTGCAGTCTCATAATGAGTCAACTAAAACCCCTGTTTAATGAAAGCAGTGCTGTGTGCTTGAAATTTTAAATTTATGTTTAAAAAACAGGTCCTTCCAAATACCACTGGCTTGGGAGAATAGATGCTGACATTCGCTGGGGGGGTGGCAGGGAAAATTTTTCAAAGTAAGATTTCAGCGGAAGGGAACCACAGGGCAACCCGACCCGTCAGCCCATTTATCATAGTGCTTGCAGTTTCTGTGTCAAAGCAGGTGAACAATGATAAATATCCAACCAAGGTGGTTCATTTGTATTCAGAACATTTGAATAAATAAGTTCAAAAAAACCCATGTAGGCTTTTGTTCAAAGGGAAGCTCCAGCCATTTCCCTCAGCTCAGCAGTCTCGAAGTTCAAAAGGTAAGAAGTGCTCCTTGCCAAGACTAAGCTCTGACAAGCATTTGAAATGAAAGCTTCATTATGAACTGGCATTTCGGGGGCAGCTTAACGTAGCTGGAATCCTGGTATCAGCAGTGAAATTAGGGGTAAAGTTATATGTGACAACTTGACTTCGTAGGCTTGAACTGTAGGAGCTTAACCAATGTGTTTCTCTCCCACCTTCTACCGTCATCCATAGTGCTCAACTCCTGGTTTCTGCTTCTCAAATGAAAACTTGTTCAGGATTCGGTTTATATGAAAATTGGGAACAAAAATAAAAGGACACGTCATCTCTCGATCTGCCCCTTTCTAAAATAAACTCATATTTTTTAACTGAGATATATTAAACAATTTCTGGACTGCTACCTAAGCATGTAGATTATTTCCAAAGAACTGCCCCATTGCCAGCATTATCATAAGAACATTCATTTACAGATTAAAAGAAAGAAATGGCTTTTATTTAAAAAGAATGAGAAATGAGAAAAAAGAAAAACATCTGATTTTGTCACTGTTTCTCTTAAAAGTAATCTTGTGGGACTCTCTGTTGCTGTTAGAATAAAATCCAGAAAGTGCCTTTGTTTGATTTATAAGGCCCTCTACAGCAAATTCGATCCAAAAGCCGTTGATTATGCATCTATTCTATGTCTGAAACACTGCATTGGGCACCGTGAGAATTAACAAAGAAGAGCAAGACATGGGACTCGGGGAGATTACAGCTAATAGAGGAGAGGGGCATCCTTTTAAATTACTTCAGCTATGTAAAAGATCGAGATTCTCTCAAAGGCACAAATGGTTAAGCGCTCAAGGACAAACCAAAAGGTTGTTGATTTGATCCCACGTACAGGTATCTAAGCAAACAGCCCTGGCAGTCTGCAGCCCAGAAACCCTATGGAGCAGTCTTACTCTGTGCACATGTGGGAGCCATGAATCCAAATCGAGTTACAAGGACTTGCATAGCCCCAACATCAAAGCTGAACTGTGTGAAAGAGTAGCCAATAAGAGCAGTGGAGAAAGCTTTGCTAAGGATAGTAAATTCCAAAGTACGTGGGAAAGTCAGGTGGATTTGAGTGATGGGTAGGACTGGGAAAGAAATTCAGGAAGCAGTGACCTTAGTGTTCCTGAGATGGTGAATATGTTTCTACTTGGGTGTGGTCCGGCCGACTGTAACTGGCCATTGTTCACAGATCAGATGTGCATCCTTTGAAGATGCATTGTTCTGCTGATTAGATTTTCAAAGACTTGCACCTGTTTTCCAGATCTGTGCGTTTCAGATGGTACCAGGGGCTTTACCTTGCTGGCTCTCAGCCTGTGACTTGGGCCATTGATAATGTCTACATTGGTCCCCAATGTGAAGAGATGTGTAATGGCCACGGAAGCTGTATCAATGGGACCAAGTGTATATGCGATCCTGGCTACTCCGGGCCCACCTGCAAAATAAGCACAAAGAATCCTGATTTTCTCAAAGATGATTTCGAAGGTAAATTTTTCCCCATAAATCCTATATAGCTTTGTAAAAGAACTTAATTGTTATGCACAATTTGTGGTATAGAGATAATCATGAAGTTCCACTGTAATATTTCATTATCCAGACAATTTTGACCCCTCAAAACTTCATTTAGCCTGACTTTTGTAGAATTCTGTTTTCGACAAGCCTTTAATTAAGAAACAAGTGGAGGTGCTTTTTTGCCACTTTTTATACCACGTGTAATTTCTGATTAATGATCAATTTTAGAAAATGCCTACAGAGGGTAACTCTTCTTGGATGGATAGAACAACTTTCCTGAAGTAAATGTCTGTCATTGCTTTACCACCAACTCATTCACCAGCCTCTCGTCACTTTCTGTATCTCAGTTCTCACCTAGAAGCTAGTGTCACTATCTATGAAGATAATGTGACAACACAGGAAAATGCATGAGGTAATAATTAGAAAAAGGATTTAAATTTTATATTCACTCTAATCAAACTACAGAGAACACTCTGATTAGCAACAAGTCTACAAAGAAATATAATACTTATCTATGTTAAGAGACTATGATTATGCTTTTACCTTCTCCTTAAGATTATTGTAAAAGTGTCATGTTTATGGTTTTAATATTCATTTTAAAACTAAACCTGGATCCGTATCTGAAGAGATTTAAGAGCTGGTTTTGAGAGACTGTATTGAATAGGAAATTTTAAACCACATTACATTTATCCGATTCACACTAATGTTCTCCTATTAAAACTCTGGTCTTTGAAAAGATTACACCTGAATGATACCATCTCAGCATTTGTAAGGGACCGGTGACAAGGACAGTGGAAAGCGCTCCACACTCCTTTGCTTTTACCTTGAACCCTTCTCTCACTGAGCAGTTTCCATTTTCTCAGTGTGGAGGTCCTTAAATGCTAAGGCAAGTCTCCTGGCTCTAGTCTGTGCACCTGAAACTGCGCCAGCCATGGCTGGCAATTCAAAGGAGTTACGCATCGAAGAATTCCCTGTCCCATCGTAGGAGTTCCACATTTTTGGCTTCATACGTAATCCTCACAGGAACCCTGGTGGCGTATGGGTTACACGTTGGGCTGCCAACCACAAAGTCATCAGGTTGAAACCACCAGCTGCTCCCCTGGAGAAAGATGAGGCTTTTTACTCCCTTACGGAGTTACAGCCTTGGGAACCCACCGAGACAGGGCTACCCTCTCCTAGAGGGACACTGAGTCGGAGCTGACTTGATGGGAGTGGTTTTGGTTTGGGGGTGGTGGTTAATATCTACATGGTGCATTTACCAACCGTGTACCTTTAAAAATATATAATTCAATGGTAGCTGGAATCATAGGTAAGCTGCATTTTCTACTTTTCTCAGGCCAGCTCGAATCTGACAGATTCTTGTTAATGAGTGGAGGGAAGCCGTCCCGCAAGTGTGGAATCCTTTCCAGTGGAAACAACCTATTTTTCAATGAAGATGGTTTGCGCATGTTGATGACACGCGACTTGGATTTATCACAAGCTAGGTAATCGTGTTTAGTGCTGTTGCAAAATCACACTGTAATATACAGGCTCGGAGCATAATCAGATCAGAAAGAATCAGAGATCTCAAGGACAAGGCCTTCCCTTGGAAATGCTGAGCTTCTCTCCCGACAAAGACTCCATTAAAACGCAATTTACATAATCTCCACTCTAGAACCAAGAGAGACCAGTGCAATAACTAATTCAGAAATTAAACCCAGCTAAACACCAAAGTTAATATCTGGTATCGTACAAGAATGTGACTGGGGAATGACAGTGTTTAACTTTGAGAAATGAAACTGCATCTTCTTTATATACTATTAAAAGCCACTGTTTACCCGCACCTAGACTACATAAAAAATTATTTACATTCATTGGCGTATGCTCACTAGAAAGCATAGTTGATAGTGGAGTACATCCTCAAGCTAAATGCCATCAAATTTGTCTCCATCAGCAATTTAACCTACAAACATTTGGAATACAGCCTTATTCTTTATGAGAATTGCTTTCCAATGATTTGCTAACACATTCTAGGCAGTCATTTTCCAAATTGAGCAAAGTCACTCAGAAACAAACATTTTAAAACTGGCTCAGAGGATTATGTTCTGTCAAGATGTGTACCCCCTGATCATTTGATGAGCCAAAAAGTTAACAAGAAAAAATGTTAAAGGCAATTTCACATGCATAAAATGCAGTTCTGACCTATTTCTGCTAGTGAACAACAAAATTATGTTTTTGTTGTTGGAATATTTCTGAGTACCCCAAATGCATGTTAGTATATTTATCCTCTTTTTCTTAGGTCTCTCATTTATTAGATTATAATTTTGATCATTCTTTATAGAAAGTATAGTTCTCATCTGTGAGATGATACATTTGTAGATGCAGAAAGCAAAATTTTATTTATTCCTACACTATTTTAAGCTGATGCACTTTATTTCACATTGTCATTGGAAGTTGAGGTCTCATTTAGTTATTTGGTTTTTACAATTAAATAATTATGACATAGTTTAGGTATCACTTGCTTACATTTTTTCCAATATAGGCAATATGTTAAGAGCTTTTTATATAAATGATTGTTTCTATAAATGTCATTGTCAATATAGGCACCATTATGTTGTTGGGTTTTGGTGGTGTTGTTGTTTTTTTTATCACTAATCCAATGTTAAAAGCTTCTTTATTTATCTCTCCTCTCAGTAGCATGCTGTGTAGGATTTGCATATATTGACCTCAAAATGCTCCATGTAAAATCTCCATTTTCTCAAAGTCATGAGAAAGACAAATGCCCAGCTAATAAGGTTGGGAGGAACTCATGAAGAATGCATCTTTATATATGGTGCTGATAACAATTATTACAAGCCTCAATAGCACTCACATATTTGACATGCATACATTATTGGGTATGTGTGTTCAATTGCACATGACATTTATTCTGCATTACCAGCTAGCACAGCAGCCAGACCAGGCACTAGCAGCTTGCCTGCCAAAGATAGCATGTGAGCGAGTTTTCATTGGCACTCCAGCTGGTTGCTGCTACTCTGTCCACCTTGTTGCCAGCTGGGAAGGCTGCCACTGGCAGGTTGCCACAATACTTCATGGCGAGTATCATCCATCCCGGTCCCAGCAACAGTCAGGGGCTGGCATAGCCCACCACCCCCACCCCACACACAGGCAACCCAGTCCCTGGACCAGAAAAGAGACCAAAGCTTGACACACCTCTTCCAAGAAACGTCTAGCCTTTCACAGAGCGGTGCTACAACTAGTGAATTTAGATGTGCCCCACCACACCAATCTCATGAGATCTGAAAATGTACTGGTGAAACCTGAGGATAGATGATTTTACCAATAATAAGGTGTGAATAATACGAACTACCTGTTTCTGGGTTCAAATACTATGGTCAAGAACCCAATTTTATCTTAAATGGATAAAATATTGTGGGGTTAAGGAGGGGCCCCCACAAATCATCACAGGTCTGGTAGGCGCAATTGTACAGCGATAATAAGTAAAGATTATAGTAAAGTCATTAGAGAGCATGAGAGTTAGAGGAGAGATTGGAATAAGTGGAGTCAGACACAATTCATGGTAGCATTGCTCACCTCAGCCCCGCTTGATGGTTCACGTGGGGGGGGAACACGGCGGCCAGGAGAGCAGAGGAGCCCTCAGGACAAGGACCGGGGAGAGCCTCCAGGCCCCAGGAGCCAGAGAGAGTTTTTTCTTTATTGCTAACCAAGCATTATATCACTTTAGGGGGACATGATTACAGAATCACACGGCACAGGAAGGGGCAGTACAATAGGCATACACATTGTAGGAAGGGGATGTATGATAGGCATAAGTGTGACAGGAAGGGGATGAGCTAGGGGTGTGCCCATAGAAATGGGGAGGTCTAGGGGTATACATGTGACAAGATGGGCGGACCCTAGAGTCATGATGTCAACCTAACCTTGATCATCCTTGGGCGGGTTTGACCTCTCTGGTGTCTCCTACAAGGAAACAGACAACTACTATCCTTATCAGAAGGGAGTGGGCCCCACTTGTTGTGGGATAAACAGGGGTGTCTGTTGGTCTAGATGGCTGATAGCTCTTAGGGAGAATGACCCCTAATCTACTCTTGATGGCCTACAAGTACATAGTCATTCTCAAGCAGCTAAGTCTGGCATATATTGAGGGAGACAGCTTGAGAGAAGTCCTTCTGTTTCTCATAAAATATGCCTTTTCAAACTTGAACCGCCTTGGGATCATTCCCATCATCTTCTAGAATAGTCAGAGGATATAATGAATGCTCACTTCCCTTAGACTCACCTGTGAGAAGTGCCGAGATATGAATATGGACACAGAACTGACTTTTTTTCAACTTCAGGGTTTATTAACTCCCTTCCACATTTGAAAGGCAGAGCCGATCTTGTCATTGTATTGGACAGCCATCAGATCATCAGATTAATGAGAGCCGTGCCTTCCACCTCATTACCCTGTGTGCTTGTCTTATTAACCATGGAGCTTCCTCAATTGAATAAGTCTATAGTAAAATTTTCAAATGTCAGATTTGTGCAGTTCTTCATGAGACTGGGATGTGGTAAAGGTGCTCCAGACCCTAGAAGCCAACCTGTACTTCTACAATACTCTCTCAATGGCGGCCTTTCCTGGAGCCTCCTGCAAGAGTTCCTCTTCAGCAATGCCAGCAACGTGGGCAGGTACATTGCCCTGGAGGTACCACTGAAAGCCCGCTCTGGCTCGACTCGTCTCCGCTGGTGGCAACCATCTGAAAATGGGCACTTCTTCAGCCCTTGGGTTATTGACCAGGTCAGTCTACTCCAGAGCAACTGATAGCGTTTTGCCACTTGAACTAAATATGACCTTAGGCATTTAGTGCAGCCTCCTGGTTCAGCAAAGGAACCCCGGAATGGACAGTGACGTGACTTGCCCAAGGGCACACAGCTAAATTAGATGGAGTTTTTAGTTTCCTTTCATTTTCTGCTCAGTTGCCCGAGTTTATAAAATCAAAGCGCTCAACAGAGGGCATAGACCCTGCTCATGGAGGATTCGTCCATGTGGGTAGAAGGACTTTATTCGCTTGATAGGAGGTTATAATTCTCTGAAAAAGAAAATGTGCAAATTAGTATTGGCTGCTGCATGCGCTGTTTCCCAAATCCTCTTTCTGGGCCTTTGAAGAAAGAAAAGTCAGAAATCTCCCCAGCATTCCTTATGGGCTGTTCTGCAGGATCTTCATACATAATAAAATATGTATCAAGCAGAACTCAGAAGAACCTATTACCAGGAGAGGCCATGCAAAGTTTGGGAACTAAAATGCCTTAGGATGCGATCTCCTCAAATAGAAACTGTACATGGAAAATAACCAAGTGGAAGCCAAATTTTGCTTTCCCAGCTTGGGCACATGTCGTTTCCAAAGACTCCATTTGGCCACCAGTCTGTGAATGGTTTTGTCACTCCTTGATATGTTTTCAGTAGCTTCTTGCCAGATGGGCAAGCCGACCACTTGAAAAGAGCATTCTAAAAGGTTCCCTAGCACCATTCTTGCTGTGTGGTGCCAGCTCTGAGCGCTCAGGCTGGCAGATGAAAACAACAAACAAAAACACGGAACTTTCCAGTATCTTAAAACTAAGGTTGGTTTTGGTTTTTATACTTGTCAGATACTTATCGGAGGAAATATTTCTGGGAACACAGTCTTGGAAGATGATTTTACAACACTGGAGAGTAGGAAGTGGCTGCTTCACCCTGGAGGTACCAAGATGCCCGTGTGTGGCTCCACTGGCGACGCCCTGGTCTTCATCGAAAAGGCCAGCACACGTTATGTCGTCACCACGGATATTGCTGTGAATGAGGATTCATTCCTGCAGATTGATTTCGCTGCCTCCTGCTCAGTCACAGACTCTTGTTATGGTAAGTGTTCGTTTCCAGTCGGAGAGGCCGAAGTACGCCCCTGAGCATCCGTGGCTCCCTCTGTACCGCGGGCCGGCCCAGGGGGACCGCAGCAGAGCACACAGAGTGAAGCCATCACTGTATTCTAGACTAGCTTTCATCTAAATTGAACTTTAGACGTTTAATTATTTTTCAAACCATCAGAATGTGAGTTTAATTTTAAGCATCTGCATACAAAGACTTCCTTTATATAAAGAGAATAATAAAGTCCTTTTGTAAACTCATACTTTTTTAGTATCAGACTTGAGGAATAAAGGATATACTTGAAGTATTTTTCTATCCCAGGACTTCTCACGTGGGAACTCCAGGAATAAGTACCTATATACTTGAGTGTAAGCCGACCCAAATATCAGCCGAGGCACCTAATTTTACCACAAAAGCTGCATTAAAAATGTGCTGAAAAACTTGGCTTATACAGAGTATATACAGTAATAATGTCTATGCCTATAATTATACGTCAATGTGTTTTAATTAACCAGATTTTAGATTGCTCTAGTTATGGTTTCCTTTCTGTCTTCTTCTTAAGAATTATGAAATTATGTTGTTCCTATTTTTCCTTACCTGTTTTCCTATCTGGATCACAGTGTATTCTAGGCCATGCTCGCTGTGAGCAGTTTGAATCCTGAGGGTCATCATGTATGAGTGGGCACTCGGGCCTGTCTTAGGAAAAATGCAAACTGATATCATTGCACACTTAGACTCTGTGCCTGAATATACAGGCCTGTCAATAGTTGGTGGATCTTTTGTGTTTCATGCCTCCGCACCATTCTTCTTACCAGAGGTCTACACTAGGCATACACAGGGCCTTGTTTCATTTTAGACTCTGGGACAGTGACATAGGAGTCATTTTGGTTGTTCCAAAAGATACCACAGAATCCAGATTTTTCATATTCCTATTAGTTTGAATTTAATGGATATTTATCAGGGAGAATCAAAAATTGCTCATCCTGTGACAGACTTAATGAGTTCATTAACACTAGTCAATGGGTTAGGGACCTTGAAAAAGAGGAGGGTGGAAAAGTAAAAGATGTGGGTCTTCAATTTAATAGGTCACTGTCTATTGTAGGGGGTACTTCAAAAGGTAAGAGTCTTAGAATGGGCTGACTCAATGCTCTGTAGCGTGTCAGTAATGAAAGTTCAAAGAAGAGAGAGATGATAGATTGCAAAGGGAACCCTGCCCCTAGCACATCATCACGGGTCCAGTAGGCGTAAATTGTACAATGATAATAAGTAAAGATTATAGTAAGGTCACAGAGAGCATGGTAGATAGAAGAGGGAGAGGAATAATGGAGTCAGACACATTTCATGGTAGCAATGCTCACCTCAGCCTCACTTGGTTCTCCACATGGAGAGAGAGCGATATATAATACTACCCAAGGCTTTTATGTTCTCTGGGGACATGCAAGCCCCTTAATTACAGGTGAAGACATACATCACAGGAAGGGGTTGTGCTATAGGTAATACAGTAATGGGAGGGGGGTGATCTAGGGGTATCCACGCAATAGGAAGAAGAGGAATTGGGGGTATACATGTGGCAAGATGGGCAGATCCTAGATTCAGGATGGCAGCCTAACTTGGATGTCACTGAGCGGGTTTGACCTGTTCCCTGGCTCAACTGATAGAGACCATTATCAATAGGGTGTGAACTCCACCTACAGGCAAGCCTTCAGGGAGGAGTAACCCATTGTCCTTAACAGCAGGGAGCTGTGCCTAAGGTAGTCTGCCTAAGACAGTCCCTGATTGTCTTCAGGGAGGATGTCTGTAAGCAATCTGACCTCCCCCCATATGCTAGCAAATGGCCCCTAATGTTCGGCATGTCTTTGGGGGAGACAAAGCTGAGGAATGTCTCTTATAACCCCACAATAGATGGATAGCCAATTTAAGTGGTTAGAGAAGATATCACAAAGGAGCTTAGTCTAAAGTAGACTTCAGTGTTTGTAGCAGATTGGAAGAGTAGATAGAATGCTTTCAAGGGTGCATTTAAAGCTGGAATGACAACATTAGCAAGCAACTAGAGATGGCATGGGTGACACTGTGAGCAGACAGGCCTGACTAGTCAGTGTTGGCATATAACAGAGCAGAGCGAAGGGTGCTGACTTTGAAAGCAGAAAGGAATAAAGATCCTAGACGCTACACCTTCATTACCATAAGAGGTCAGTGTGAACCCAGGAAAGGTGGACCACCACACAGTCGACCAGCAGCAGTATCATGACTGGAACTCAGCCCCCATAAACCCAGGCACTTGTCCATTCTCCTGTAGGCTGGCTCAGTGTGGGGGAAGGCCAGCCCCCCACAACTAATTGCAGGTTTGATAGGCTCAATTTATGGTTAAAATATAGATAGAAATTATAATAAAGTCTTAGAAAATAAGGAGAGATTGAAGAGAGATTGAAATAATGAAGTCAGACACATTTCATGGTAGCATGCTCACCCTTAGCCCCGCTCAGTGGTCCACGTGGAGATGGGAGATAAGAGGGCAGGAGAGGGGGGAGGGGGAGGAGGACAAGGGGAGAAGGAACAGGGGAACGAGGACTGGAGAAGAGAGCCAGGGAGAGAGCTCTTTATTGCTAACCAAGGCTTATATGTCTTTGGGGGGCATGCAAGCGCACTAATTACAGGTAAAGACATATGTCACAGGAAGGGGTTGCCCTACAGGTAATACAATAATGAGAGGGGGATGATCTAGGGATATACACGCAATAGGAAGGGGAGGGATTGGGGGCACACATGTGACAAGGTGGGCAGATCCCAGATTTAGGGTGGCAATCTAACTTTGGATGTCACCAAGTGTATTTGACCTGTTCTCTGGCTCTCCGTGGAAACTATTATCAGTAGGGTGTGAACCCCACCTACAATGGACCAGACTGATGTCTGAATGCCTTCAGGGAGAATATCTCTAAGCATCTGACCTCCCACCAAGTAGCCTCTAATGTCTGGCATATTTTGGGGGAAGTCTCTTGTATCCCAGAGCTCAGCCTTTGGAGAGAGGTTAAACTGAAAAATAAAATGAAAGAGAAAAGTAGCTATGTGGAATTGGCAACAAATTATGAAGGACCTTAAGAGCCAGACACAACAATTTAGTCTTGGCAGAATGTGTGAATCAGAGGCATGGGAGTACAACCAGTAGTGCTGAATGTGGTCCAGGGAAATGTGCTTGGGAGGCAAGGTAGGGAGGGGACCGAACCCCAGTAAAGCAGGCGCAGTGCTAATCCCTGTAGGGAGGGATGAAGACCTCAACCAAGCTGGCATGCAGAGAACTTGCATATCTCAGATGAACTGTAGGCAATGCAAACAGAAGCAGTAGCATTAGGTCTCAGGGCCATGGACAAGTTGAACATCAGAGGATAAAGGAGAGGCCATTGTAAATCACTTGTGGATTCAGAACCCATATGAAGTGCAAGCATTGCCATTGAAAAGCTTTAGTATAGAAGAGATGATCTTTCTGAGGGAAGAGGATACGTTATCTCTATAAAACTTAGGCGGAAAAAAAAATTAGGCAGAAGTAGTTCTCAGTGGAGATGTTCGTTACTGAGGAAGCCCTAGAGGATGGTAAACAATAGGTTTGTCTCCATTGCTCATCACGGTAGGCCCAGCATCCCACACAATCAACTTTTGAGACTGACATTGGGAGACTTGGGCCCAGAACTAATAGTTGAAATCCTAAGAGCTTACACAGAGACTAGAAGTCCAGAAACAGTCTGGAAGATTGCCCGTTATTGGGCCAGTTTGCTAGGAGTCAGTGTGAGAGTAATACCGGAGAGTCTGAGTAGAATTATGTCTTCCAGATAAAGGTCCAAGAATCAGGGGCTAATCATTCCTGTCCAGTGTGGTAGAGAAGGCAAGTATAATGCTGACTGAGACCAGACCATTGTATTTCACTAGACAAGGCCATTCTTCACCCTAGAGCAGTGGGTGGTCTCCCTGCTGGCTGCACTAGAGAATCAATCACCTGAGGACTCAGCACTCCTGACACCTTGGCTGTGCCTCAGACGAGTTCCCTCAGGTCTTCTGGTGGTGGCATCCCGACACCAGTGGTCTTGAAAATAGCCAAGTGATCTCAGTGGACAGCCCCCCTTAAGGAGTTTACACAGCACAATTTGAATTAGGGAAGTGGCCCTGACATCTGTTTATAAGGTGTTAGAAAGGGAGTGTGGTGGTTGCTGTGTGTCATCGAATCAATTTTTACACACAGCAACTCCATATGACAGAGTAGAACGACCACATAGGGTTTTCTAGAATTATGATTTTTACAGGAGCAGACTGCCTGATCTTTCTCCCACGGAGCTGCTGGGTGGGATCCCACCATCAATGTTTCAATGAGCTGCTGAGCACTTACTTGTTATGCTACTTACCAGTTATTCCTCCTAAGGAGGAAGTCAAGGGAGAGAGCAGACAGGGAACCTAGGTAGAATGTTTCAGAAGCTAAAGAAAAGAGCTGTCTTTCCATAGACCCACATCCTGACCTCATGCGCTGACACTTGTGCTCTGACCCTCAATTACCTCCTTACTCTTCTGATAGCCCAGTATATTGTATATTCCATAATCCAGTAGAGCAAAATATATGAGAGGGCTTCAAAAAGTTCAAAGAGAAGTTGAACTAAGAGATACTCAATTTTTTACACGAACTTTTTGATGTCTTCTCAAAGAGGTGAAGAGATTTTCTTGGAAATGTCACCCATACTGAAGGCAAAACTGGCACTAAATTTGTCAGGACCACTGTAGAATGACCAAAATTTGAGAAGAATGCTCAATTTTTCAACTATTTAAAGCCACCATTAAAATGTGTCAATTATTATAAGTCCGTGAAGATTAATGATAAAATTATTTAGCACAAAGCAAAAGATCATTACCATCAAGCTGGTTCCAACTCATCGTGACCCGACGTAGGGTTTCCAAGGCTGTGAATTTGTCTGGGACGAGACCACCTCATCTTTCTCCCACAATCTGAACTGCAGCTCCTGTGATTACTAGTCTCAGGCTTAACCTAACAAACACCACCACCAGAACGCCAGACTTGGCCTCTTATATTAAATTATAACTATTATAAGATATTAAATCATATCGAATTTATATAGTATATACTTATGTGATATATATTCTATAATGTTATGTTAAGTTATACCATATACACTTGTGTATAAGCTGAGTTTTTCAGCACATTTTTTATGCAGCTTTTGTGGTAAAATTAGATGCCTCGACTGATATTTGGGTCGGCTTATACTCAAGTATATATGGTAACTAGTTATGAATTAAACCATGAGAACGTTAAGCCTATGAACCCATTGCTTTGTCATGATTGCTCTAAGGTTCACCTTAGAAGGAGTGGCGCCAAAAGGACTTCATGCTTAAGTTGTTCTCCTCTTAAAATAAAAATGATTCCAGTGTGGGAGCTACAAACAATAACTAGTCCTGTGCAGAAAGAGAAGCCAAGCCAAGCACATTCCAAACAGAGAAATGTTAATATGAAGAGAGGGAATCCAATTGATTTTTAAAAATCCAAACTCCCTCCCATGGAGTTGATTCCAACTCCTTGTGAGGCTAGAGGACAGGGTAGACCTGTCCCTGTGGGTTGCTAGGACTGTAGCTCTGTACGGGAGAGTAGACAGCCTCACCTTTTCCCTGCAGAGGGGTTGATGGTTTCAAACAGCTCACCTTGTGGTTCACAGCCCAATGTGAACCCACTACGCTGCCATGGCTCCTTCTGTAACGTGTGGAGAGAAACCAAGCCAGGACTATTGCAAACGGGGAACGAAGGGGAGAGGAAGAATCCAACTGACCTCAGACTGAAATAAAAACATAGGAAAGCATACATTGTGATTCTTGGGTCTGGCGGCATGTCTGTTTATCCAGAATCATGCTTCCTCTTGCAGCTATTGAGTTGGAATACTCAGTGGATCTGGGACTGTCATGGCACCCATTGGTGAGGGACTGTCTGCCTACCAACGTCGAATGCAGCCGCTATCACCTGCAGCGGATCCTGGTGTCAGATACTTTCAACAAGTGGACCAGAATTACTCTGCCCCTCCCTCCTTATACCAGGTATGGGTGCATTCTGCATGTGGGGAACCAAAGCATGGTATCGTTTGGCACCTCGGAATTCAGGAGAGCAGAAACCAGTTTTCATGATGGCGTTGTTCTGTTTAACCCAAATCAGGGCCTGGGCTGACTTTTAACCCTTGTTATTTTTAAAGAATGATACATACAGGAGAACAGTGGGTGGATCACTGAGCTGCTCCCACTTAACTCAGACACGTTTAAAATAGGACCATTGGATGCAGAATAGATGTAAATGCAGCCTGTTTTCTGTCCATCTGCCTACTGGGGATTAGAAGAGCAATGTGTAATGTCATATCCTCATAAGTGGCTATAGCAAATAAGTTGTCTTAAAATTACTTTCAGTGTTTGAAACTTTATTTGGAAAAACTTCTTTTTGTTTTATCTTATTATTAATTAGGAGTTAATACGCATATCAATCCTTAGTTCATTTGCATCAAACAGAACCGTACAATTGCTACCACAATCAGTTTCCAAACATTCCTTTTCCACATGGACTCCTTGATAACATCTCCCTTTTACCCCTCCACCACCACCACCACTGTCTCCCCAACCCCCAGCCCCTGTCCTGGAAACCCTTATTCTACTTGCTAGCCCCATAGGTTCATCAGTCCTAGGTTTCATACACAGAAACACCAAGGAGCATCACACAACTTCAAGAGGGGACTCCCAATGGCAGCACAACTCTGAGAAAAACCCCTATATAAGTAAACAAAAACAAAAATACAGAAAACGTTGAAGACCAGATCAGGTTCAGCACGCATCAGAGGAGAGAGAACTCATAAACGTTTTATCTGCTCAGGTCAGGTTTATAGGACAATGAGGTTTATGAGGATTACCATCCACAGCCTACTTTTTTGTGAAAAACTGTTTTAATGCAATACAGTGTACGCGTTCATTCTATCAATAAGAAATGGCGGTGGGTTGATTAAAATTGCTTAGGAAATGCTAGTACAGACGTTGAATGTGAATGGCCTGTGCATTTTGCCTTCCTGCTCTGGGCAAAGCCACGGCTTAATGTGATCTGGCAATCCCCTTCCACTGTCTGAAGTCAGCGCTAACCATAGGAAAGCTTGAAAATGGTGCTGGAAACTCCTTTCCCTCCAAGAGAACAGTGATCAACTGTGGCTGTTAAGAAAGGGGCCAAGGAAGCTGTGCCTGGTGGGAGCAGGAGCTAGAGTTTAGCTCATTAGTGCTGTCGCCTCCCCACAAATGAAGAATGAATAAATCTCCCTAGCAAATGACCATAAAATTCAACCATTCATCTAGGGCATAACTTTTCTTGGGATTATCATAAATGGAATGGTTTCCGTTACTAACAGCCTAAGGCTGCTGTACAATTGCTGGCTCAGAGGTGCCCAACTATATTAACTGTCAGCAGAGTTGCCAAGTTTAAATGAGATACGTGAGATTTTGTTGCTCATTAAAGGTATTGCCATGCATGAATTATTAAGGTGATCTTAATAAGTAAAATAGAAAAGAAAAAAAACTCCATTAAGGCAGGTTTCTTTTAAGTCTTTATGAATACTCTGAATTATTACCAAGCTGCGACTTGGTGTCGTTTTGCAAATAAGCGACGTTCTAAGATTTACTCCAACTAGGCATTATACCCTTGAGCCTTTTCTCTCAAGAAAAGTAATTATTCCTCATTTTAATGCATCTTTTAATTGTCTCTTGCACATATCCACAAGACAGTTGACCTGTTCAGATTCTTGAAAAATCCTATGAGCATCCATCCATTCCCTTTTGTTACTATATTAAAACTGAGCAATCTGTTTAATATATTTAACTTTCGTGTATACGGTATAATGGCCTTAAAGGTGACACTGCTTTATAGCAAGGCCCTTTGGGTAATTCAAGGGAAACAAAAGTACCTGAATGGAGCCCGAGAGCCAGACCGCTTCTCATCACGTGCTCCCATATGCGAGTCACTAGAGCCACCTGCCAGCTTCAAAGCACTTTATTCCAAATGCAAGTTGAAATATCTGTAGGGTGTCTGCTCTATATTGTTACATTTTAAATGGAGTGTTTTCTTGTTTCTCGCCTCAATGTCTGAAAAATCTATCTTTTAGATGGGATGCAACATTTCTGTCATCCTCCAATCCTTTAATTGAGAAAATTAGCATACGACTCATTGCTGTAAGTAGGACATAAGAATAACTGTGACAGGTGTCCAGGGCAGCCTTGTCCAATCCCTCCCTCCCTCACTCACATAGCCTATGACTATGAGGCTGGGACTCCAGCTGAGAGTCTGAGCTTTTTGTTGTTGGCAGAGTGGTGGTAAAAGTCAACTGAGGCTGGTTGTCTGCAGATTGACAACAAATCTCTTATCAAACGAAATGGGCAGTGGCCACCTGTAAAGATGATTCATTGGTCAGTCATCATCAAACAGATATTTCTGAAGCTTTGAGTTATATGTAGGTCTATGTAATGAGCTAAAGTGATCCCTGCCCTTGAAAAGTTTTTAGTTCAGTGGACAAGCAAGGTATAAATCCTTAATCTCCAGTAATTACAGAAGTAAGTATAAAATTACAACTGAGATCAGTGAAGTCCAGGCACATCTTGTTTTTGAGATTACATATTACAGGGTGATTGACTTGATCAAGGAGGTCAATAATGTTTCCTCAAAAAGGAAAAAAGGTAATTGAGATAAAGTGTGAAGGATGCATAGGAATTAACTAATAGTCCACAAGCAAGGATAATAATAGGAGGAAGCAGGTGCAGCTACAGAATATATGGTCCAGGCAGAAACTAAGGCGGCAGAGAGAGGTAAGAGGTGGGTGGTATTGGGTCATGCAGAACATTAAAAGATTGTATTAAAGATTTGGGGTTTTGTGACCGAGACACTGTAACCTCTGTTAAAGTGTTTGGGGACAGGGAAACATGAGCATGTTTACTTTCAGAAACACTTATTCTAAGTGGAAAACCAAGTGTAGGAGGAAAGAGTGCGGAGACCTTTGAGCGGCATGAATCCTGGCGGTTGGCCTATGCCTCCGGGCCAGTAGCAGAGAGGACAAGAAGCCAAGGGAGAGAGTCCAGGGGCAGGAAGAGTGATGGTGGAATAGCCAAGGGAGGTGAGGGCAGTGATTCTCTGCTTCTGAGCCCCAAAACTGGTGAGTTTCGCTGGAAGGGAAGAAGGAGACTGCATACAAGATTATACCACAATGCTCCAGACGTGGTTATGGAAAAATCTAAATGAATTGGGTTAGATAGATCATAGTCCTATTCTTTCCATAAGCATTGCTTTAGGTAGATCTTCTTGGGGGAGTTGGGGGGCAGTGATGAGTGAAGATCGTTGTAATATAGTGGAAGACTTGGATTTTTTTTTAATCTTATGAGTTGTTATGTAATGGTGATCCTTGTTGCCATATAAAACTTACAGGTTTGGAATGCTGTATGTGTTTATTAAAGTGAAAATATAGGTTTGGATTATTTTCATTACCTACATAATTACAGTAGTTAACTATTTTGTTGTTGTTATTCAGACTCAGATGATTCTATGCGCAACAAAACAACACTACTACGCACTGCGCCATCCTCAGAAGGTGTTTGAACCCATTCTTAGGTTCCAGCTGTGTCAGCTCAGCTCACTGAGGGTCTGCCCCTTTGTCGGCTCTTCTACTTTACCAAGCATAGCACTCCCTTGTCCGGGGACCGTTCTCCCTGAAAACATGTCCAAAGTACATTAGACACACACTTCTAAATAAGGAACACTCTCAACTGCGCTTCTTCCAAGACAGATTTGTTTATTTTTCTGCAAGGCTACAGTGCCTTCAATAGTCTTTGACAAGACCCTAGTTCAGCTGCGTCAGGGTTTCCGGTCTTCCTTATTCATAGTCCAACTTTCACATACGTAAGAAGCAATTGAAAATGCCATGGTTGGGATCAGTTCACACCTCAGTCAAAAGTGACACCTTTGTTCATCAACACTTTACAGAGGTCTCGTGCAGAAGATTTGCCCAACGCAACATGTTGTTTGATTTCTTTGTTTGTTTGTTTTGTTGTTTTTTTCTTTTTTAAACATTTTATTAGGGGCTCATACAACTGTTATCGTAATCCATACACACATCAATTGTGTAAAGCGCATTTGTACATCATTCTCAAAACATTTTCTCTCCACTTAAACCCCCGGCATTAGGTCCTCATTTTTCCCCTCCCTCCCCGCTCCCCCCTCCCTCATGAGCCCTTGATAGTTTATAAATTGGTATTTTGTCATATCTTGCCCTGTCCGACGTCTCCCTTCACCCACTCTTCGGTTGTCTGTCCCCCAGGGAGGAGGTCACATATAGTTCCTTGTAATCGGTTCCCTCTTTCCAACCCACTCTCCCTCTACCCTCCCTCTTTCGCCACTCACACCACTGGTCCTGTAGGGCTCATCTGCCCTGGATTCCCTGTATTTTCAGTTCCTATCTGTACCAGTGTACATCCTCTGGTCTAGCCAGACTTGCAAGGTCGAATTCGAGTCGGTAGTGGGAGCGGGGAGGAAACATTTAGGAATTAGAGGTAAGTTCTTGACTGCTGCTTTCATGAACATTGGCTGTGGGTCCAAGCAAAATTAAATCCTTGACAATATCAGTCGATTCTCTGTTTAGCATGATGCTATCTTGGTCCATTTGTGAGGATTTTTATGTATTTATTTTTTTAACAGAGTTGTAATTCATAGTGCAAGTTTATTATCAGTCTGAAAAATTCCATTTGACTAGGAATTCTTTTTAATCTCCAGTTTAGTTCAATGGAGTAGGCCCCTACAATGAAGAAGGCTACAATCTGGGGGAGACAAGAAATGTACTCAAGAAATAACTTAAATTATATACATGCTGTATATCATTTAAACTTTCGAGGTTCACGGAAGAAAGGGCTAGAAATACTGTGTTGTGCAGTGGGAGATGGTGTTGAATGCCGGAGAGGGTTTCTTGGACAACATGAGCCCTGCAGGCAAAGGATGTCTAGGAAGTAGGTGGGTCAGAGAAAGAACATGGTAAGTG